GTGGTTCTCAACCTGTGGGTCGCGACCCCTTTGGTGTTCGAACGACCCTTTCACAGGGGTCGCCTAAGACCATCCTGCATATCAGATATTTACATTACGATTCATAACAGTAGCAACATTACAGTTATGAAGTAGCAACGAAAATAATTTTATGGTTGGGTCACAACATGAGGAACTGTATTTAAAGGGCCAGAAGGTTGAGAACCATTCTAGGCCAAGCATGTCAAACTCAAAGGCTAACACCGGCCAAATAAACGAGGCATGCGACCTGCAGCCCTCGAGTTTGACATGCTTGCTCTCTAGGCTCAGGGTGCCTAGTCTCACTGGGTGAATGTTCTCTAAATCTATCTGTGGCAAAGGCAACCAAACTCCCCACAGGCTGTCAGAGTAAGCAGGGTCCGGGGGACTTGCAGAGGGGACAGGGCCCCTTCAGCTCAAAGGCCACCACTATCTGAACAGACCTGAGCAAGTCCGAGTTCATCCCCTCAGTAAACCTGGGTGTCTGGGATGCTGTGGGGAAGTAGGTTAATTAGCACATAGCTACCAAGCAAGGTAATCAAAGATGTTGATTCACTCTCGTCCATTTTTCCCTAAGCTGTGCCCATTTATTGCTCCAGTGACATCCTGGGGCTTCACAAAGTGGTCTTAACAGAACTATTCAGCTGCCACACGTGGGAATGGGGGCGAGAGGGCGGGGCAGGCTTTCCCTGGGGTCCCATTTTTAAAGGGGGAAGACCTGTGTTCTTTCTCGAAGCATGTTTCCCCAGAGCCGTTCTGCACAGCATTGCTCAGGTCCCATGGAGACCCTCCCTGGCGGATACGCCTCCTGGCTCATCCTGTTCCAGTGGGCTAGCCTGGCGGAGGACCCAGGGGTCCCCCTCTGCCCTCTTCGCCAGGAAACCCAGAGACAGCTTATGTGCTCGGTTTCTGGACCAGGACTGCTCCCTCTTAGCATTTCCCCTCATTCCGTCCCCAGGAGTGCTTGGTTGGGGGTCTTGTCGTTACGTTGCAGGGGTGGTTTTGGAGGCAGCACTAGCAGCAGGGTGGTGATTAGAACCAAAGCCAGACACACCTCGGCTCAGTCCTCATTGGCCAGCTGTGCCATCTGAAGATGACTTGGACCCTTCAATCTGCAGTCCCTTCCCTGGAATATTGGGTTAATGATCACAGTTAATGGGCAGGTTATCGTGAAGATGGAACCAGACAGTTCCCTTTGGTTCCTCCCATGTCAGCTGGGTCTGTGGCTCCAGGATCTTGCTCTGTATTTCCTTCCTCCTGCCTGTGTCGGGCAGCTTAGGAGGAGTGATACAGCAATAAGAACCAGATGACCAACCATCCTGGTTCATCTGGGACAGAGGGGTTTTCCTGGGATGCAGGATTTTTAGTGCTAAAATGGGGAGGTCCCAGGCAAACAGAAGACTTGGTCACCCTAGTAATAGCCAACCTCAGCATCTCTATGGCTTAACAGTAGCAAAGCTGATTTCTTCCTCATGTTTTTGTCCACCCAGAACATGAGCTAGTCAGAAAACCGCTGGTCTTGGCACAAAGAAACATGTGCCCAAGGTTCTGTTCCAAACTGGCGGCTGTCCTGTCCATCTTATCTTCAGTCAAGTCCAGTCACAGGGCCGGGCCTGATACCCAGGCGGCCTGCAGATGCTCCCCACAGGGAGGGCAGCTGATAGTTAGAACCATCTTCCTGTATACAGTCTGTGTGGGTTTCTTAAGGGGCACTGGGCCTTGCCCACTCTGCTCAGAGGAGCATCTGTGTCTCCCTCTGGAGTGGTTGATACCCTCATCCTTCTCAGCTGCAGGCTTCTCTGCAGGAGCGCCTGAGCTGTGACCCCTCCTTCCAGCCTCCTGACTTCCTTGTGGAGCCTCTGAGAGTCTCCTCCCTGTGCTCTGAGGAGCTCAAGGCACTGCGGTGGGACAGAGGGTGCTGAGTTCCTCCCAGGCACACTGCACAAGTCCCTTTGTGCCTCACTTTTTCTGGCTGGCCAGTGAGCCTCCCCCACCTCTGGATTCTCTAACTCAGAAGTGGGCACACATGTGGCCCTGACTCCAGGGCAGGCTCTCCCCAAAGCATTCTTGCCATGTGCCACTTGGTTGGCAGCACCAGAGCTGGCCCTGCCCCCCTAGCAAGGGCCCCTCTCACAGTACCTCTGTCCACTGGAGCCCCCTCCCTTGAGTCAAGACTCTTTTTAAAGTAGGTAGCACAGAAAGAGGGTGTGGTCTATCTTTTGTTGTATCGTTTATTGTCTTACCTCTAAGAATACTTTCTCAGAGAGAAGACAGTTTTCCAAAAATAATTGTTAAGTATCACAGCTGATTTAGTTTCCTTACTTTGTCCAAACATATAAGAAAGGCCAAAAGGCCTTTGTTTTGCAAAATATAGTGCCAAAATCCATGTTACCATTTGTTATTTCTATAAAGTAAATTTGAGCATTGGAAACATTTATCAGAATAAGAAATTTCACATGGCTTTTGGTACCTAGAACCTTCATCTATGTTTCGGGGGGTGGGGAGTGAGGGGTGGTACTGGGAGACACCTAACAATAAGATCACAGTGGGGAGGGGGCAGAGCTAGATAGAGGCCACAGGGTGTGTCGGGAAGGGTAGGGGCAACATTGGAGAGCGAACAGGAGGTGACACCTGAGGGCACTGGGAAGGGAAGCAGGAGCTCACCAGGTCATGGAGTGGCTAAAGGGAGCCACACCTGCAGGACACTGTGGGCACAGCTGAGGCTGGGAACTTAAGTATCTCAGGGGCCTCGAGCTTTTGGCAGCCGATATGGAGGGTTGGGCTGGAGGGCAAGCAAGCCATGGTGGAGGCCTGGCATTTCCTGCTAGGGAGTTCAAGGTTTTATCTGGAAGGCGTGGAGCAGAGCAGAAACTGCTGAAGTATTTTGAGCAGGGGGTATCTTGTCTCTGGCCACAGTGAGGAGGGGGCTGAGAGGAGAGCTGCCTGGTTGGAGGCAACCAGGGGACAAGGGAAGTGGCTGAACCCATCCAGCGGAGGGCTCACTGGGGGTTGTGGAGTGTGGGAAGGAGGGAAAGGATGCCCAGGATGGATCTTGGGATACTCATTTGAGGGGTGGGAGGATAGTGTGTGACCTGGCGGGGAATGGGACTTAGATGGAGTCCCACGGTGAGCCTGCCTCCAGCAGCACTTCCTGGGGACTTTGCGTCCATTTCCTGCTGCTGTGTCACCTGTGGCTCAGGAACTAGAAGTCCAGAGCTCCGGTCAGGTTGTTTGCACATGGGTCTCAGTCAGACGGTGAAGGTTTCTGAGTCAGACTGCAAAGGGGCATAAATTAAGAGGACAAATCAGTTCTATTCCTGGATATTCATCTGAAGGCCTCTGTAATGATCAAGACAAAGATAGATAGTCCACAGATGGCAAGAATTAGCCAGTGGAATGCGAAACGCCAGAACTCTTGCTTCAGCGAGGTCAGTAAAGCCCCACCTAAAACCAAAGTTTTGTCATCTCAGGGCAGAACGGGGCAGGAGGCAGAGGGTGGCTGCACCTCTCGTCTTCCTTTCCAGCCACCTCCTCCCAGATGCAGGGAACACAGGGCAGAGAGGAGACCCCTCTGTCCTGCCAGGAGGAGATGGGCAGGGCAGTGCCCACGTTCACATGAGCAGGTGCCTTTTCCCAGCGGATTTCTCCCTTAGCTTTGTGTGTGCACAGACGTACTTGAGGTTCACGGACATTTTCTTAAACCTTCTGGGAGTAAGCTAAAATGCTTTAAGTATTGGCTCTGCTGGCGTTTTGTGTTGGCTCAGTGTTTTCTCAAGACTTGTTTCCCCTTGTTCCTTGTCTGCATTTAGGTAACTGACTTCACCTGGGGGTGTTGAGTGACAACATTAGCAGTGAGGGTGGCTTCTGGCGCCCCTCCACCCCAGCTGTGTGAACTTGCCTCGTTCCTTCACCTCTCTGTCCCAGCCTTCTCCTCGGTAAAATGAAGAAAACAATAGTATCTGCCTCATAGAATTATCCTTCAGTTTTAAGTGAGTTAATCTATACAATGCAGTAAGAACAGGGCTCAATGCAAAGTACTCAATTACTGCTTGAGTGTTATTATTGCTTGGCCCAGTATGAGAAGTGAAAAATATAATTATCTTTCTTAAGGCCATGTCCCCAAACCCGTGTTTAGTAATTTAAAAGCCATTGTTTTTAACAGAAAACATCTGCTAACATATTTCTTGTTAAACTAAACCACCAACACGTGACCCCCTCAGGTGTCTGTAGTTAGTCTAACAGGCCGCTGAAGGAGGGATTGTGCGCAGCCCAGTTACTCCCTGCGACGAGGAGTTCTGAGCTAGCTCCCCCATCTCCCTTACCTAATATGAGATTTTAAAACATATTTACCCCAGAGTCTGTCTGGGTTTTCTTTTCCGGTGGGCCCCGCTGCAGGTTTCTGAGAGAAGTTGACTGCCTGAAAGGAAACTGCAAAACATGAAAATCGCCCTGAGGTGACCAAGTCCAGTGGCTCCTTTCTCCCCCACGGTGGATCGGAGGTTGAAGAACTCTAACTTCAGGTAATAAGTCGTCATATTTCCTACCATCCCCCTCTCCCACTGGCTTATTGGCAGCTTCCATGGTAGTTTTTCCTTCAGGAAGTGGTGAAACTTCAAATATTCTGCCTCATGCAAAGAGAGGTGGGCTGGAGGTGGCACTCATGCCCAACACACAGCCCGAAGGGCCACCAGGACCCTGACGGCAGGGCTCTGTTCTCATTCCTGACCCACTTCTCTTAATGTCAGTAGTAATATAACAGTGATTAAATGATTATAAAATGCTTCTCAAAGAATAAATCAGAATAGCCAGGAAATGAATAAGAATGAGGGAAAGGATTTATTCTACCAGGTAGTAAAATGTATTATGAAGCCACAATAATAAATAGTGTAGTACTAGAATGGAAATAACTAGATCAGAGGAACAGATTAAAAAGTCCAGAGATAGGCAATGAATCAATAAAGATGGCATTTCAAATGACTGGCAACAGGATGTGTAGATTAGTAATGGTGTTGGTTAACTATCCATTGAAGGGAAATAAGGTTGGGAATTTCTTAGTGTACCAAAAATCATTTCCAAATGGATTGAAGAACTAAATAAAGTAAAATTATAAAAAAATATTGGCAAAGAGAATATCCTTATGATTTGGGGGGTAAGAAAAGGCTTTTTTTAAAAATGTCATTTTTCATTATATAAATACCATAAACAAAGTTGAAAGGCAAAAAGGGGGGTAAGTATTTATAACATCTATGATGAACAAAGAATATATTTCTAATATACAAATAAATTCATTCAACATCCATTTATTGAGTGCTTCCTGTGGTCCAGGTACTAAGGGTGCAAGCAGTAAACCACACAAAATCCCTGCTTTTCTCATGCTGATAGTCTAATGGAGAAGAAATAAAGAAGTTGATTACTGTAGGCCAAATTTTGATAAGGGCTATAGAAAAAAATAAAGCAGGGTAGGGGTAGTCAGGGAGGATTGGCAGGGGGTTGTATTACATGGATATTCAAGGAAGCATCATTGATAAAGTGATATTTGAGTAGAAATGTAAAGGTAAAAATGGAGAAGTGGCTAAATTTTGGATTTTTTTTTTAACATTGAGCTAATAGGATTTGTGATAGATTGGGTGCAGGTTGTGAAAGAAAGAGAGGAGTCAGAATGACTTTCAGGTTTGGGGGCTGAGGAACCAGAAGGATTGAAATACTGCTTGCTGACATCGGCATGACTGAAAGGCTTGGCTTGGGGAGAGCCAGGGGCTTGGTTGTGGATGTTTTAGTTCAAGGATGTTATTGTACATTCAGAGGGAGATGGTTATACAAGCTTGGAATTCAGAGAGGTCTGGGCTGGATATGTTAATTTGGGAGTTGTCCTAGCATAGCTAGTATTTGAAGCAATGAAACTAAACAGATCTCCTAGGGAAGGAGTATAGACAGAGAGGGAGGTGCAAGGACACCATGGGACCCTCACTTAGAGGGGAGGGAGATGAGGAAGAACTAGCTAAAGAGACCAAAATGGAGTGGCCACTGACGTAGAAGGAAAATTGTGAGAAAGTGGCATCTCTGAAACCAGGAGACTATGAGGAGGGAGAAGTCAGAACTATCAGATGTCACTGTTGGGTCAAATAGGGAGCGAATGGAACATGGGCCATTGGACTTAGCAGTGAGGAGGTCACTCATGACAGTGGAGGCTGTATTATTGGAATGATGGGGACAAAAGCCTGATTGGAGTTGGTTTATAGCAGGCGTCCTCAAACTACGGCCCACGGGCCACATGCGGCCCGCTGAAAACATTTATCCGGCCCCCCGGGTGTTTTTGCCGCCGTTGCCTGTCCTGCTTAGCAGCCGACTTGTCCCGGGCCCGCAGTGTGCATGTGTGGAATGTCTGAGGGACAGTGAACTGGCCCTCTGTTTAAAAAGTTTGAGGACCTCTGGTTTATAGATTAGGAGGAAAGGAATTGGAAACAGAAATGGGGCAGTAACTGGAGGGGAATGAAGTTCAAAGGTTTCTTTTCCTCCAGTACGAGAGCTGTTGCAATGTGCTTTTATCCTCATGAGAATGACCCAGGAGACGGGAAAGTGGGTGATACAGGGCTGTGGGCAGGGAGAGACTTCTGGGTGAGTGTCCTGAGTCGTGAGAGAGGATAAACTCGGCACTCGCTGGGTGTGGGGTCCTAACCAGCAGCGTCTGCGTGGGCTATTTTCTCAGCGAAGTAGAAAGCAAAGTTATCACCTAGGAATGAGGATCTGAGAGATGTTAGGGGTTTGAGGAGCAAAGAGAAAGTATGACATCCTCAATAGCAGAGTGGGTGAACAAATGGAGCAGAGAGTCCAGATCGTGGCAGCACTGGGCCTCTGGGTGAGAGGAGGTGGACTGGAAGCTTTTCTCCCATCATGCCCAGGTGAACATGGTCTGGAGGCCTGTAGATACTGAAAACAACTTACTGGAAAATGGGCCATGAGTAGACACAAAGGAAAACAGTGAGATGCCTCTAACATAGGAGCACCAACTGTAGTCATTTAAAAATACAAGTAAACACAATGAGGTCTGTACTTACCTTCAGATTGACAGGAGCTCTTGTTGAGGATATAAATTACTGGAGTTCTCCGGAGCACAGTATTTCAGTGTGTACCAAGCGTACAATGTGTGTCCCCTTTTGCTCTGTCAGTCCTACTTTCAGAAATTTATCCTAAGAGATGATAGCGCAAGTGCATGGAGATACAGGATACACACCAAGGTGTTCACTCCAGCAGTGCTTGTGAAAGTGAAAAGGTGGCGCAAACCTGACCAGGTGGGCCTGGTTGCTGAATCTGTGAGCCTGATAGTAACAGTGAAAAGAAGCGCTCACACTTAGCCATTGCTTTGCAGATGAGGAAGCTCGGGCCCAGAGAGGAGTGAGCCCCAGTCTCATCCTGGGCAGCCCGGCCCTGACTGCGGGCAGCACACAGCCCTCTTCAACCTGGTTTGGAGCTGGAGTTCCTTGTAAGGTACCTGTCAGCCTCTTCCTTTGGGCCAGCTCACTTTGTGCTTTTAAAATATGAATTCTCAAAATGTTTTGCAAATTTTTTATAGTGTCTTCATTTCATTATGCAAGGTTTTTCTTGCAGGGGATGCTGGGTATGAAAGGACAGTCAGGGAAGATAGGACAGACTTTGCCTGGGCTGCTGAGAGAGGGACCAAACTGGGCAAAAGTAGGTTTGTAGTTGTGAATACACGAAACAGAGTTTATTCTTGTATTGTTATTTATTAATTATTATATTATTTTTCCTACGAACAACTGTAAACTTACTTTTACTCCCCTCTCCCCCCTCCCGTATAGTCTGGGGAAGTATATTGTCTACTTTCCTATGACATTTACAAAAATTGTAACAAAAATACAAAGATAACAAGTAAATCATCTATTTCATTGATTTGATTTCTAGGTTGGAAGAAAATGAAGTTAGGACTCCCACACAACATCTGGGACACTTGGTCCCCTGGGGGGGAAGCATGGGCCATAGCTCCTGGAGCCCTGGGCTCTGGTTTAGTTCTTCCACGCCCTCACCTGGGTCCTCCGGGTTTTTCATCAGGAAAACACACAGTGAGCCGAAATCACCTGTACTAGCGCTAAGTAGGCACGCTGCTCTTCCCTTCCTGCCAAGCGCCTGTTCCAGGGGCTGGGTGAGAGGTGTGGGTGCTGCAAACAGGCACCTGTCGCTGCCCAGCACCACCTTGGCCCTCCAGCATTTAGAAGAGCCCGTGGAAATAAACTCGCCTCTGTGCCTCCTTGTCCCAATTCCAGACTCCCAATGGCGGACCAGAGGATGGACATTTCTTCAACAATCAGTGATTTCATGTCCCCGGGCGCCACGGACCTCCTCTCCAGCTCCCTGGGCACCAGTGGCGTGGATTGCACCCGCAAGCGGAAAGGCAGCTCCACCGACTACCAGTAAGGCCCTCAGACTAGTCCTCTTCTGGCCGAACACAGTGGCAGTTCATGGGCATGGAGCATCCGGGGGCTGCTCCTCCTGGAAGAGGGACCCCCTTTGGGGAAAGGGATGGGAGTGAAAGATGCAATCCAGGAGGCCACACAGTTGTTTTCTTTTACCTTGCCCCAGAAGCAAGTGGGGAGGGGTGGGGGGGACCTCTAGCACCAGCACTGCTGAGGCATCAGCCCCCTCCCAGACTGTCCATATCAGGGGGAAAGAAGAGCCTTAAAGCCAAGTTCCTGCCTTGACCCCGCCTTTACCTTCCTTTGCTCCTTTGAGCAAGTGACTGAGTCCGTGGGTGTAACCTCAGCGGTTTCAGAGAGAGCTTTGCCTGAGGGCCCCTCCCTGAGGAAGACATGAGTTGATTAATACATGTATATACACTTGAATAGCTCGATCTTGAAAATGAAATGTATTTTAACAAGCATTGCCTTTATAATTATTCAAAGTGTGTGTATACATTTTTGGGAACACCCTGTATTTGCAGAACAAGTAAGTAGTGGTCATCTCCAAAAACAGCATAGGAACATTGATATTGCCCTTAAACATCATTGAAACGAGTATGTACCTGTTATATTAAATAGTATTTTTTGTGTGTTTTTTTTTTTAGACTTGATGACTTTTCTTTTGAGTAAGTAAACTTTCACACTTACAGTCAACTCTTCTATCTCTGCACAAACACTAGGGCATAAGGCAGTGTATAGAGAACAGTCAAAGGCACGTTTGTTTTGTTGAGGCCTGTGTGGAATCTTACCCAAATGGCCATTTAAAAGGTTTGCTTTTGTTTAATGAGGGAAAATCTCCAAGGAGGAGTCCCCACTACAGCAGATGTCCGTTATGCTGAAGTTCACAGGTCAGACTTGGGGAGCATAGTGGCTGGAGGTCAGATGCCCACTAGGAGGTGCTATGGTTAATATGTAAGTTATCCCAGATGATTCAGAGCAAATGCCCAGGGATGGGAGTGAAGACCAGAAGGGTGTTCTTTTTGGCAGTAATTCCCCAATAGAGAGACCAGGAGATGTTTTCTATGGACCGTTGACACGTTCTAAGATCTCTGTTATCTATGGTTTCTAACCTTGTCACCGTCAGGTTTCCCTCAGGGACCCTAGTTTGCAAGTCTTTTGAATTCATGGAGACTCTGTTAATGGAGCAACCATAATCCCTTTCCCTATCATTTTGTTGTACTAACGTCACACCTTCCAGGCAGAGCTCCTCTTCCCTGAGATGGTCACTCTGGCCTCAGTAAGCAGACACAAGCCCAGACAAAGGGGATGGAAGTTTCCGTTTGCCTGTGTGGCTATGTGATTTCCTCCAGACTCGGGACCAGCTAGAGACACTGTCTGCGAGGACACCCGGGGCGCTGCCAGGAACCACTGCTCCAGGATGCCATGACTCAGTGCTCCTGAAAAAGTCATTTTTGCCCTAGAAATACCTTGTGTGGAGGGTGCATTTCCTCCTTTCTATGGGATAAGGAGAAAGGGGAGATGCCCAGGGGGGAGTCAGTGCCTGCCCGATAAATTTAGGAGCTGAATTAGGCTGTGAGCCGACCCTGGGGACCTTGAGCTCCTTTCTCTGAGAATTCTAGTCGATTTTCTACTGAAACACAAGATGCCATGAAACTTGGATTTCTGGAGTCTATTGAAGGGAGGCAGGTTCATGCTGGGACCCCAGCACCTCTGCAGCCAAATAGGGTCCCACAGCCTCTGCCCCAGTCCCTCCTCTGTCCCATTCCTTGGGGTTCCCCACATGCTGAGAACCAGAACACTGGGCAGCAGTGCCTCTGAAAGGCACCTCGGGGCTCTGCTCAGCACTTTTTTGTTGGTGCTCTGATTCCCCTCCTCACTTCAGTCCCCCACACAATCCAGTCTGTATGTATGCACAGATATCTGATGCTTGATATGTTTTGCAAATGAATAAGCCCCATTCATCCAGAATGAGTTATTGTAGGTATTGTAGTTACTTAGATATGCTGATGAACTAACAGTTTCCATAAGTGCAACCTATTCCCAATTTTCACACAATGTGGTAAAATATGTTAACATGAAAACTCTGTTGAGATTATATATAAATTTCATCTGATAATCTGGAAAACCAGTCCGAGTTTTATATAGTTTCAAGTTGTTTTTATTTATATATGTTTATTACGTATCCATAAGCAGTACTATGCTATTTGACCTTTCTAATTGTTTGGTTTCTGGATAAATGAGAGCCATAGGCATTATGATTAGAAGGTATTGTGTATGTCTTTAATAGTCACGTTCTGTTTTGTGTTTTTTTGCTTGTTTGTCTGTTTTTCAGGGAAAGCATGGACACAGACAAAGATGACCCCCATGGAAGGTACCGTGAGCCCAGTCATTTAACTTCAGCGTCCTTGTAGTCATTTCCTTGCATAATCGCAAATTCTATTAGTTGGTGCAGGTTCCACCATGTCCTGGATGGGGGATAAACAAGGAGGCTATGAGCCTGTGGGCTCAAGATTGTCTTCCCCCAGCCCCCAGTTTGGCTGACAATCAACATTGTGTGTTGTGGAGATGACAAGGATTAAATAGAGAATTAATTAAAAAGGGAAGAAGACATTGGTTTATGTTTTCATCTTTTGCTTTTTTTTCCAGGTTAGAATTCGCAGAGCACCAAGGAAGGATAAAAAATGCCAGGTAAGAAGGGGCCTCATTCTGTCTCACTGCTGGTCTCCTGGGGGCCGCCGAGGAGGCTCTGTGCATCTGGTCCCGGTCTAGCGGTTCCTTCGACACGGTCATGTCCGTGGCCTCCTGCCCTCCCTCTCTGCAGGCTGTGCTGGCCTTCACTCTTTCCTGTCTAAGCATGGGTAACCCGAAGGACTTTGGAGGGAGCAGAAAATAAATCAAGGCTAAGGTTTCCCCCTAGTCTTTGGCAGGTTACTCCTTCCTGCCTGCAGGGCCCTGGAGGAGACCGGGCACAGTGATGCAGCTCCTGGGCTGCCCCTCGCCTCCGAAAGGGGCCCTTGTTGCCCTGAAAACTGCTCCTGAAGGCAGGACGGGGGATGCCCTGCTCCGTGGAATAGGTGCTCTACCATGGTGCCTCCTGCCACCAACCACACTTGCTTATCCCTGTCCATGTGATCCTCAACCCTCCTGCTCTGAGGCCGTCACGACAGAACTGAGGGATGCAGAATTTGACTAACCCGAGATTTCTCACTTTTCTCTGGCAGACCCGCCTTGGCAGGAGCTCTCATGGTTCTGTTGCTATGGCAGCAGCAGGGAACGACATTTTTTCTTTTTAAAAAAATTTTATTTTTAATTTTCATTGGTTTTAGAGGGAGGAAGGGGGAGAGAGAAACATTACTTGGTTGTTCCACTTATTTATGCATTCATTGGTTGATTCTTGTATGTGCCCTGACCAGGGATCAAACCTGCAACCTTGGCGTATCAAGACAATGCTCTAACCAACTGAGCTACCTGGCCAGGGCAGCAGGGAACTACATTTCCACCGTGGATGCACCTCTTTAGGGAGCTATCACAAATGGCAGGTGCAAACCAGTCAGAGAGTGTGCAGGGGCAGCAGCTCCTGGGAGGGAGGAGTGTGATGTTCTTTGGAGGAAGTTCTGGGGACAGATGTAGCATCTGCTGTATCTATGTGGGGTCATATTTGATCCAAGGATGGCAGCATTAATTACCTGGCAACTCACCCAGCGAGTCTGGCGAGCCACACAGCAGGCTCCTTCCAGCCCTCGGAGACGGCTCACCTGGGACCACGGGCCCCTGCTGATTTGATGGCAGTTCTGGATGTTTTGCTCTTTAAAAACTTGACCACCCTCCTTTTTTCATCTGCCTCCATCTTCAAATCCAAATTTATAGAGGCTGAGAGGAAAAGAAATGAGAAATTAACAATACAGTTTACTCTGAAAAGACAGTTTTTAAAAAATATTTCTTAATTCTAAGGAAGGATGAGATAAGCGTTTAAAAAAACTAATCCTGACCTGGCAGAGAGGCCACGTTTTTAGTGACTTTAATTAAAAAGTCCAGTTTGAAGCAGTCTGCAAATTCTGAATTTGCCTTGCCAGATGATTATTGAAAACAGTTATATCTTATTTTTGTCTTTGTTTCCTTAATGCTGGGTTACATTTTATAGAATTCGTTATTCATGTTATTGTTCAGGGAAGCTCACAGTCAAATTGAAAAGAGGCGTCGGGATAAAATGAACAGCTTTATTGACGAATTGGCTTCCTTGGTACCCACATGCAACGCGATGTCCAGGAAATTAGATAAACTTACTGTGCTAAGGATGGCTGTTCAGCACATGAAAACACTACGAGGTGAGACCCCAGGTTTTATTGTCCTTTACGCCCTTGTCCACAAATGTACCACCCTTGCCTAGAATGTTCCTACGTCCCTACGGCAAATGTTTATGACTTGCAAATGTGTCGCCTTGAGTAATATGCCTGTAATTTTCAGCAGTAGACACGATGCCCAGTGAAGTGAGTATCAAGATGCAGTTCCACAGCCTTTTATCCCAGATGGGTAGAGGCTGTGAGCATGTCTTTGTGTGTGGTCAGACTATGCACATATCAGAGAGGGCACCACTGATGCCCCATATGTGTGCATGTAGTCAGACCCTATGCATACATGACAAACATCAGAAATCTAAGTGCACTGAGTGACCCAGAAAAGTCAGTCTCATGTTTAAGAGGAAAATCCATCATGGTTCCTTTGAAGAGTTACTGGTTCATGATTCTTGCTGCGTGTTTTTTTTTTTATTGCTAGAAATGAACACTGACATAGTCATCTTCCTGGAATTTTCCCAAACTAGCCAGACCCTTTATGGGAGAGGCAGTATTTTCCTTCTTCTCTGAGTGTGGTGAGGTTGAGAAAACGAGGCAGAACTGTGGAAGTGACTTATCCAAACCACAGGAGAAATCTGAAACATTATCAGCCTTTTAGTGAATGCTGTTCTTGGAATTTTCCATAGCTAGTCTTGGGCTATTTGAGGCAATTGGAAAGTGGGCGCTCAGTCAGATCTCTAAGCCGTGTGGCAAAAGAACTACATCTTTTTATTTCTACAAAGCCACCAAAAATAAGACGTAGCCGGTTTTGTCTGACTTTTGATCGTTATTCAAAAATATAATTGTATCCTGTGCTTGGAGAATGGCATTTAAAAATTTGTACTAGCTGAGATGGTAGAGACTAAACTACTATCAGCCAGTTTCTATTAAATTAGAAGAGTGCAAACTCCAGTTATCACAGAAGCGGGTGTGGATCAATAATCCGTGCTTGTTGGTTGACATGGAGGTCACAGACACGTCCTGTTTGCCTCCTTCCCCTTGGTACTTTGAATTGTTATGGACCTGTTTCATTTTATTTCTTCACTCTTCCACTCATCATTCTGCAGATTCCAAGTCATTTACTGCTGGCATTTTTCTCTGTTAAGTTATTGTTCTTCTGAAAGACGCCCAACTGACAGCCTTTTAAACACAAGTCTTACTCCATTTCAGTCCCGGGACCTAGAGTTGCATTTACTGAAGTGATGCATTTCTCTGGGGTGCCAAGCTCATTTAGCTCACCAGCAGTGAAGGGGAGCTCACACTAAATGCCCTCTATAATATATTTACTCGCCTGGCAGACCGAATGACTTCCCACGCGTGTCGAGTGGTGATTTGAGGGGCTGCTAGACAGCCCATTGAATACGCGTCTTGGGAGGAGGGAACCGTCCCAGGGGCCTCAGCCAGTTTGCTTCTAGAGCTGCCTTCTCTCCTAGAAGCAGATTTGTAACTTCCTTCTGTTAGCTCTTGGTTTTCCCCGTGGTGACAAAAGCACGCTCGTTCAGTCTCCTGTGGGCAACAGTGTTCTCTTTTCAGTGGAATTCTCTTTGGTATTACAGGGTTCTGTTCAAAACCAGGTCTTGCCTTATCTCAGTTAAGGAAAAAGACGGTCAAATTTAAATCCCTGGTGGTAGGTTCGAGGCAGTGAAGTAAAATGAGACATTATCTGAGTATAAAATGTGCCAACTCTTTCTCTCTTTCCCCACTAAGGTGCCACCAATCCATACACAGAAGCAAACTACAAACCAACTTTTCTGTCAGATGATGAATTGAAACACCTCATCCTCAGGGTATGTGGCAATTATGGGCTGTTTTACACACTCTTGTTTTTACAGATTTCAGGGTTAAGTCCCAGCATGTGGGAATTTGATGTCTGAACCCTGAACTGTTCCTAGGCCACTTCCTCTTTATCTTCTTGCTTGGACAGGCCTCACATTCCTTCTGAGCCCTCCCTCCTCCCTTCTGCCCTTGCTTAGCAAAAATGGAAGGTCTGTGCTACTGTAGTTTTAAATCAGAAGAGGCAGGACTTTGTTAAAAATAGGTGGTAGCTAAGAAGCACATTCCTGCATGAAGATTTTAGAAAGGGACTGACACTGAACAATTGAGAATTTCTCTGATTCTCACTTAACCACTAGCACAAAAGCATCCACCAAAATCTTTACACCAGAATCCCTTCCAAATAGCAAAACTTCAAAAGACTCCATGATCCAGCGAGGAAAATAAGTGGAGGAGGTGATGCTGCGCCTGCTTGACTGGAGCTCCTCGGTCTCTGCGAGAGGCAGTTGAGGCGGCACCATGGGAACGCGGCCTTCCGCAGAATTGGGTCTGCGCGCCTGCTTGACTGGAGCTCCTCGTTCATCTCCTCGGTCTCTGCGAGAGGCAGTTGAGGCAGCACCATGGGAACGCGGCCTTCCGCAGAATTGGGTCTGTGCGGGCTCCAAGGTGTGTTCCCGGCAGAGCAAGAGTCAATGGAAGGGAAAGAAATGGAATTCAGAAACATGTCCTCTTGCAAATTGTAACAAGCAAAATAGGAAAACATAACTAAGAGGAAAGATATCTGCCCCCGCCGTGCACAGCCAGGGCTGACCTCACTAGCTGAGGCCCCTATGGAATCAAGGCCCCCTTCTCTGAGCAGATGTTTGCAAAGCCCAGGATAGAGGTAGTCCAGGTGGATGGTTGTGTCATCGGTACCCATGTTCTGCTCAGCCTGGCTCCTCCCTGCTTACTCCAGTTTCTCTCTCCATCCCTTCATGACGTGCTGCATTGGAAAGCTTTCAACTGCGAGGAACAGAAGGCCTGATGAACAAATGGGTTTTTTTTTTTTATTTTCATTTTTACTTTATTTTTTTATTTAAAAATTTTCAATTACAGTTTACATGAAATATTATTTTATATTAGCTTCAGGTGTACAGCACAGGGGTTGGCCAGTCATATACTTTACAAAGTGTTCCCCCTGATATTTCCGGTACCCACCTAGCACCATACCATTGGAAGTTAGAAAATAGTCATGGGATGTAAAATATAGCATAGGAAATATGGTCAATAATATTGTAACTAACAGCATTTTGCTTCTCAAGTTTAGCTGGTTCTAGGTAGGCTGTGGTGGGGGTGGAGAGGGCTCCAGTGAGGTCAGCAGGAACCAGGCTCGGTCTCCCACACACCTTTGCTGGACTAGCAGGGCAGCTGTTTCCTTGGGGTAGCAAGCTGGCTGTGCCAGGTCTCAGTAGTCAGACCAGCCAGAAAAGAAGGGCAGGGGAGGCTGCAGGCCAGTGATCCTTTTTATCAGGAAAGGATGTGCTTCCTGGAAGCCCAGGAGTGGACTTCAACTTGCCGAGAAGGTTCGCCTGGTCACCCCTAGCAGCAGGGCAGGTGGCAGAGCCTGGGCTAAGATTTTCCAGCCTCCACAGTGGAGGGGGCAAGAGGAGGGCATAGGAATTGTGCCCCCCTCTTCCCCCGCCCCAGCAGCATTTGACACACACACTTTCCAGAACCTGTTTGCTAGCTTTCTCCTCCAGAAGCGGCCCTCATAGCCCAAAACAGAACTTCAGCTGTGGCCAGTAGGACTGGGGCTGCATGGCCTGGTTGGTACCTCCCTGCCATGAAAGCTGTCTTAGTGCCACCTTTGGGTGCAACTGTAGTACTGCCCCTCCCCGACTCTCTTGCACATGAATTGTTGTTAGGCCAGGTCTTTTTCATCTCGTATAGGTGCAGTTCACTTTTTGGAACTTCTTTTTATCTCTGTCGAAATATACTTATTAGATGGTCCCACCTTCCAGCTCGTGATTAGCAATCCTTTGAGTCTTCATGTGGCGTGTAGGCATGCCTTCTGTGTCTTTCATTTTCATTCATTCACTAATTCAAACATTTTTGAGGACTTACTCTATCTGCGTGGCACTATTCTAGGCGTATCCACTCACAAGTAAACATGTTAGGGTGGGGCCATGGCTTCCCTCACATTCGTGTCGATCTGTGGATCACCCTCTCAGGGCACAGTTACTCAGACCCAACTCTGCCCTCACCTCCATTTCTTTCCAACAGATGTCCTTGTTCTCAGAGGATGTTTGCTGAAGTTCCAGATAGAAACTGTCTGCTGCATATCCAGAGAAACCACCAGGGCTTCCTGGGCATGTGACCTAGGCAGTCACCCAGGCCCAGGCTTGGCTTTTGTGCTCTGCTATTGCCATTTTGAACATCATAATTTTTTTAAATCTTTATTGTTGAAAGGATTACATAAGTCCCCTTTTCCCCCCCCATTGACCCCTTCTAACCCACCCCACCCTCCATCTCAGGCTTTCACCACACTATTGTCTGTGTCCATGGGTTATGCATAGAATTTCTTTGGTTGATCTCTTCCCACCCATCCACCCACCCCCACCTTCCCTCTGAGATTCGGCATGAACATCATAATTTTTGTACAAGAGTCCCTGCGTTTTCATTTTGTACAGAGCCTTACAAATTATGTGGCTGGTCTTGATTGCCATATTGGTAATATGACATTTTTAAGGAAAAAATAATTGTATATATAATACGTTATATATAAAATAAGCTCCTTTTATAGTGACAAATGCTTAGTAATTTTCTTGTTGCTGCTTTTCTAAATAACTTCTTATCAGATGTCCAAACTTACCAGGGTATGAAACAAGGATTTTAGTGCTATTCAAGCTAAATACTTCATCTTGGACTTGCCTTTCTGCTCTTCCGTTTCATACAATAGCAGTGATGATCTGTCTTCTCCATCCCCAATAAAACTTTCCTTTCTTCTCCAGCGCATTTCAGTGGCTGTGAAGTCCTGTCTAAACTCTTGCCAATTCCAGGTACCCCGTCCCCAGGAATTTGCTTCAACAGAAGCAAGGACCATTCAGACTGTTTTGAACAGTTTGGCAGCAGGAACTGGACTTCTGCTTCTCCTTACAAAGCTGCCTGCCTGCCTCACTAAGTGCTTTCCAAGTACCGTTAGTGAACGGTGTCAGGCAGCAGTCGGCCTGGGCTGTTTATAATATCTAGATGCTCTGCTTCCCCATGGTTTGAAAAGTAGGCAGACCCTCCCAGGGCTCTGGATTACCTGCTAACACCATCCTCCAGGAGCGAGCCAGCCTTTTTCCTGAGTCCCCATGGTGCTCAGGTGTCCTTACCCCTCTGCTCCTGAGTCCCCTCACCCCACACCTTCCCCTAATGGTGTCATCTGCCCAGTGAAGCAGGGTCAGATGCATTGAGCCATCCTCACACTGACTAGTCACTGGCCTTTGGAGACCCAGGTGTCACGATGCCACAGTCACCTTCTTCATAGGCACCTTGGGTGCCTCATCACTTCATCAATGCAAAGCCTCAAACTACTTACCCGGTTGAAAATGATTGTGTGCAAGGCACATGAGGAAGTTATTAATACCCTATTTATTTATTTTTTTACTGAATGAGGCTTCCAGCAGATGGTGCTTGCAAAGTTGCTTCCCCTTCACCGTCATTCCTTGCCCCTGGACCCACTCAGACGCCTATCTTAGGAAAGGGTCATTCTGGCTTCCTCCCAGCTGGGTGGCCCACTGGCTTCTCTCACAGCCATTGCAATTGTTCCCCTTCTCATTCACTCTTTTCACCCCAGCATGAGTGCACGTGCCATTCTTTAACCTCCGGCACATGAATTCATTTCCTAGTTCCTTGAATTAAGCTGTATCCCAAAGGTCCTTTTGTGGAAAAGAGAATGGAGTTTCTCTATATTTTTCCCAAGAACAGACTGAGAGCTAGTGAACAAAGCAAGATTGACCCACCGTGTATTAGAACTGCAGGGGGGTGAGTAAAGAGCAAGTCCCCGAGAGATTGGGATAGATTCCCGGGCGGTAGAGAGGCCCCAGCAGGAGATGAGCAGTTTGTCCATCTGAAAAGAGGGCTAGGAATCGTGCTCACATATGAAATAGTCTAAGCTCTCGGATGCTGCAGCTTTGGTAGTTACCCGCTTCAGTCTCTCTAACAAATACTGCCCTGTCTCTACACCTGTCCTTACTAGCACTGTAGATTTTTACTTGTATGTAAAGCAACAAAGTAAGAAGCGTTTAAGGGGAAAATTTTGCTTTTCTTATCTTACTTAGGGACAATCAGCCTAGCCCTGGGTCAAAGGATAATATTTGAGCCCTAACCAGTTTGGCTCAGTGAATAGAGCGTCAGCCTGCGGACTCAAGGGTCCCAGGTTTGATTCCAGTCAAGGGCATGTACCTTGGTTGCGGGCACATTCCCAGTAGGGGGTGTGCAGGAGGCAGCTGATCAATGTTTCTCTCTCATCGATGTTTCTAACTCTCTATCCCTCTCCCTTCTTCTCTGTAAAAAATCAATAAAATATATTAAAAATTAAAATAAAACAAAGGATAATATTTGAGAGCATTAGCTTTCAATCCTGCATACATTAGAGTCATTTTGGGGCAGAAGTGGGGATTAAAACAGTACCAATGATGCAGCCCTACTCCAAATGTCAGCGTAAAACCAGACAAAAACCACTGTCCCAGTGCTCCCCCAAAATGGAGCCATTTAAGTCGAGGACAGATGTAGCCGAGATCGGAGAAGGGATTCCGAACTTAGAGATCCTTCCAATCTCAGACTCTGTGATTCTGCGTAGAGTTGTTTTAATTAGAGCTGTAACATATGACGTCTCTGGACCATAATGCAATCAAAGGAACATTGTTACACTGAATTCTGCTGTGAAACAGAATTTAATAATTGGACTTTCCCCTGTAATCACTAGATGACATAGATGATATAGATCTGCCTTGGAGAGAATCTTGTTTTTTTATCAGACATTTGCTTTAAGCATCCTATGCTCAGCATACCTGTGAAATTGTCCATGAGAGCAGTCCAGTGCTTTGGTTACTTAGAACACTAATCTTTAATTGCTATCAAAGTGATTACAGTCTTGTTTCTTGAAGTGTGATAAATTGATTATCCATTTCTCCTGATTAGGCAGCAGATGGATTTTTGTTTGTCGTAGGATGTGACCGAGGGAAGATACTCTTTGTCTCAGAGTCTGTCTTCAAGATCCTCAACTACAGCCAGGTATTGCTCATGCCCCTGTTGGTGGTGGGCAGCCGCCCAGCAGCCAAAAAGGTCTCCTCACTTTGCAGAATAATTATAGCATACAAGTCACATGTGAAATGCTTATTTTGTCCTCCCACCAATCCTTCTTCCAGAAAATTCTTTGTTACCAGAGAAATTAATTTAAACTTACAAAAATCGTTTAACATATGTATGATCCATGTTTCACCATTTGAAAGGTTTGACTCTGATCTCAGCAGCAGCTTTCTAACTTTCTTATTGCTGCAAAAGAAATACCCCACAGCTGCGGGGCAGAGGTGGAGGAAGAGGGGCAGGCAGATCATACAATACCAGAGAACAGGGAAATGGAACCCACCCGTGCTGTGCTTTCAGTGACATGCCACTTACTAGCTCTGTTGAACCTCAGCTTCCTCTAAAATCTGGTTGTAATGATCCATACCCTCTGGGAATGTTTGTAGGATCAAATAATAACATTTATGGAAGCTTCTAGGGCTTAAGCTATTCACCTATTGTGTCCCTAGAGGTTTTATTCACTCATTCATTCATTCTGTCACTCTTGGCATGCTGGTGTTTGCATGAACACTGGATTGGGCAGAATCAGAGTCAAAATAACACTTGTATGAATTAGAATTAAAGTAAATTTCATGTTTTCCAAATATTTTACTCGTTTTAGTCTTACAAGAAAGTTATCTCTGCTAACAGAATAGGTTATGGAAAGCATTCGGTGTGACCCAACTTGCTTAGGAACAGAGAGACTTAAAGGAGCAAGAGGCAGAGCCCATGCCTACAGTCCTCCCCCAGGGATCTCAGACGGGACTTTGTGGGCATCAGAAATAAAAAAGAATGCACAGATTCTTGCCTTCAAGGAACATGAACTATTTATGTAATTGAGCCCTTTCCCCACCTGCGTTATCAGAACCAACCTCCCAATGTCCATATCTAGACAAAGTGCACATGTGTGCAAGTTCTCATGAAATGTTTGAAATTGTCATGCTTAAAATACAACATAAAGGAAAAGCACTTAGGTAATTTATACTCTACATGCTGTTGACTTGTCATTTTTGATACTTTATGCACACAGAATGATCTGATTGGCCAGAGTTTGTTTGACTACCTGCATCCTAAAGACATTGCCAAAGTCAAGGAGCAGCTCTCCTCCTCTGACACGGCCCCCCGGGAGCGCCTCATCGATGCGAAAAGTGAGTACAGAGAAGGCTGCTGCTTCCTCAGTGCCGTGCAACTGCACACCCAGGGACCGCAGAACGCACTCAGTTAAGAGTGTGGGTCCCTTCTCTTCCCTCCTATCTTTGGCAAAATAGAATTATGTACATTCTTTTGTGTTTGTTTTGTTTACATAAAGAAGAAAACACTCAATGTCCAAATTCATTGAGGGGAAAAACAACTACTTCGATTTTATTATTTTTGATTTTTAGTCTTTTTTTAAATATATTTTTACTTATTTCAGAGAGGACGGGGGAGAGAGAGAGAGATAGAAACATCAATGATGAGAGAATCATTGAACAGCTGCCTCCTGCATGCCCCACACTGGTTTTTGCTTTGGTTGATGGTTTGGGGGGCCAGACTGATTTTCAGTCTTTTTTTTTTTTTTTTTAAGAATCCGGAAATTCCCCTAGGAATTCAGAATCAGTTATATGCCCCTAAGTTTAAAGGTCTCACACCAGGTTGATTTGTTTCTCCCCGAAAATAATCATCTCTGTTTATGTGAGTTGTATACATGCAGCCTCACAAAAGTAAGAAAACTTGAAATGAAATATAGCTAGTTTTCTTTGACTACAGTGGTTCCTCCTTAGATTGGCTCCCCTTCCTGGCTTCCTTCTTGCAGCAGTGGAACCACTGTGCACACTCCCCCAGCTTCCTGTTCCTGCATCCTCTCCTGCCTCCTGTGTGAGGGTCTGTAGTTCTCTTCTCCTTTAGACCCAGGGGAGGCTGTGCACTACAGCAGTTAAGAATGTGGGCTCTGGAGTCAGATTGTCATGCTCACATCCTGGTTCCACCATTGGCCAGCTGTGTGACCTTGAGCAAGTTACTTACCCTCTCTGTGCCTCAGCCTCCTTATCTGCAAAATAGTACCTTTGTCTTTGAGTTATTGCGAGGATTAAACACGTTAATATACATAAAGCATATGGGACAGTTCCCGGCACATCTTGGCCCAGTGCAGTCATGGCCTAACCAGTTTCCTGCTTCCAAGCTCCCTGTTTTAATCCCTGGAGGGAAATACCACCAGAGGAATCTCCTTTAAACTATCCTTTTCATTAAGGCACTCCTCTTCTTCCTAAAAGTACAATGCAATTTCCGCGACATGTCCTTTATAGTCTGGCCCTTGCAACGTTTTGGTGACCTGAGGAGAAAGAGATGAATGGTGTTTGGCCCCTACCTTTGAGGTTCTTACCAGATAGTCCTGGAGACAAGGAGTCAGACAGCTCCCTGCATAATAGGTGCAGCCACAGAAGTGGTGCCAGGCAGAGAGAGCGGATGATTAATTCTCATGTGGGCGCCGGGACAGGCATCACTGCGTAGGTGACAACTGCAGTGGGTTTGAAAAGATGAATTAATGTTTGCCGGGTGAGAAAGAGAGGAAGAGAGCCGAGGAAATGATTTGTGGGTGGGTGCAGAGGTGTGGCGCCTGCCATGCGGCTGCTTGATGCTGCTAGAAAAAACATGCATGGGCAGGGGAGGGCTGGGATACGAAGGCCTCTCCATGGTGGGGACACAGGGAGGGGCTCTGACCAGGTGGGACAGGCTCGGACTGGCATTCTGGGAAGATCAGAGGCGGCAGTGTGGGAGGAAGGTTGCAGGAGGTAAGACCAGGAGGAGCCCTGGGCAGTAGCCTTGGCCCTGACCCCTGTGGTGGTCAGTGGGCGTGCCTTGCCCCAACAGGATCTGCAGCAGCAGCTTCTGCAGTGATAAGTAGCCGGTGTTTCTGTCAAGGTCACAGTCACGCTGCCCCCTCCCCCAAGACTCCAATTCAGTTGGTTTAACACAGCACAGTCCAATGAAAACATAAATGCAGACCACAAATATGAGTCACATTTGTGATCAAAAATAGTAAAAAATGTAAAACTAATTGTAATACTATATTTTATTTAGCCCAATAAATCCAAAATGAGATCTTTTACCTTTTTTAGTACTAAGTCTTTGAAATCCTGTGTGGATTCGCACAGCACACCCCGCCAGCATGCCTGTGCTTCAGATGTGCAACAGCTGCATGAGCTGGCAGCTGCTGAACTGGACAGCACAGACCTAAGTGGGGTCCAGGGATCTGGACTGAGAAGTTAAGAGTATTCTGCTTCATCCTTTCCACTTCAGCATCCAAATCTTGCCCATCAAGTCCCAGCCTATGTTCTTCCTCCCCTGGGAAGCACAGGTTGTGTCTGCCATTCACTTGGCACTAATCATACATCACCCTGTGTTTTCATGATGAACTTCCATTTCCCCTTCTCAGCCCTGAGCTCCTGCTGGACAGGAACCCTGTGCTGTTTCTTTTTATCTCCCAGAGCACCCTGTCCATTCCTCCAGGGGCTGCATTCCACGTGACCTAGAAACATTGCCAGACCACACACCTACCCGTATGGCATCATTTAAGGCCTAACCTGAGGAGAAATGTTATTCTCATGTCACCGCTATAAGGGAGGCAGGAAAGAAAAGGCTTTCTTCAAGGTCACACTCCCCTCCTGACAGACAACACTGCTCTCAGTTTATCACGTTTTGTGTATTGATTTGCAGCTGGACTCCCAGTTAAAACAGATATAACCCCTGGGCCATCTCGGTTATGTTCTGGAGCACGGCGTTCTTTCTTCTGTAGGATGAAGTGTAACAGGCCTTCAGTAAAGGTTGAAGACAAGGAGTTCCCCTCCACCTGCTCAAAGAAAAAAGGTAACCATTTCACAGTTCTGCCACCTCCTGTCCCAGGTGATGCTCGCTTCTACACGAGCGCACTCAGCAGGGCACTGGCTCAGCGTCTCCCTGCTGGCCAGAGCGGCAAGTCCCAGGACTGCAGGCAGGACCCTACTGCCCGCTACCTACCACGTGGGAGAGGGGGGGCAGGAAGAGCTGGAAGCCCTGATGGGCTTTCAGGGCGACTGAGTCGTGGGAAGGCTTCCTCTGCTTACATTCTGCTTGTTGTCATTGGTTGGGAAAGATACTCCCATCCACAATTCTAACTGCCTCTTGAGCAACCCGCCCATCCATCAAAACTATTCTTGCTGAATTCATCAGTGACCTTCATGCTGAATGCAAAGGTCACTTTTCATTTTTCTGCCATCTTAAAGTGTTCTCTTCCTCAGATCCCATGAAACCCCATTCTCGTCTCCCCACCCTCAGCCACTCTAGCCTCTCTTCCTGGTTCCTGCTGCGGGCTCCTCACCTGTCTGGGGCCACCTTCTCTTTTCTGTATCTGCTCCATCCAGAGGTGATCCCTTAGCTTTCAATATCATTTATATGTCAATAACTGCCAAGTTTATATTTCTAGCCCAGACTTCTCTTTTGAACTCCAGATTCATAAATTAACTGCTTATTAAATCTACCTGCTTAGATATCTCAAGGGCATCTCTAAACATGATAGATGTAAAAGTAACCACCTGAGCTTCTCCTTGATATAAATAGCAGCAAAAACCTAATAATACAGCAAAATGTAAACCGCCATCCACCTAGCTGCACATACTAGAAACCCGAGAGGCACCCTCTCACCCCATTTCACCCCCACCCCAGTCACAAAGCCCTGCCACAGTGAATTCCTTCTGCAGAAGGTATCTGAACTGTTTATCCACCTCCACGTTCACCACTATCCCTAGATCCAGGCTGCACTCAGCTCTCCCCTGTCTTTGTAAAGTAGACCCCACACACCTTCCATCTCTCCACACAACAGCCAGAAAGACCTTTTTAAAATGCAAATCTGATCAGTTCCCTACTTCAAACCCTTGGCTGTTCCCATTGCTCTTGAAGAAAAGTTAAATCCTTAACAGGATTTGGTTTCTACAGTTCCCAGTCACTAGCACAGACCTGATGCTTGCTACACACTCCAAGGATTTTTATGGTTGACCAAGGTGCTCCACACTTACTATGTCCCAAAGTGAAATCAAGTTATCTTCATTTGCTTTCTTTCATGCCAAATACTTGGATAATCATACCAAATCCCAGGAATTCTCAGCAGTTTCTCCCACATCCTCCCCTGCCGCCTCCTCAGGGCACTGCCCAGCGCAGCCCTCGCCTCGCCTCTCGCTGTGATTCTCCTCCTCCTGGTCTCCTCTTCCAGTTCACCTGTCACTCTGCTTCTAGAGCCTCCAAACCCTGATTTGGTTTTGCTGTTTCTCCACTTAAATCCCGTTGGGAGATCTTCATTTCCTATCAGAAAAGACCAGCACAATTGTTAGCAAAGAATCCAAGGCCCCACCTGCCTTTCCAGCTGCACCCCCAGCCATTCCCTTTCACTGAACCACACAGAGCTCCGTGCTGTTTCTTATACGGATATGCTCTGTGCCGTTGTACATCCTTAGCCTTTGCACATCCTCAGCCTTTGCACATCCTCAGTCTTTGCACATCCTCGTCCCTGAGCCAGAGCCCATCCTTCTTGATCTGCCTCCACATTGTGTTTCTGGGCAGCCTTCCTTTCCTCAGGTAGACTCATACCTCTCCCTTGGTTTAACCAGCTCGACTAAACACACATGACACTGGATGATAGTTAATTTTCAGTCTTCCTTTCCGTCCCCCAAAGCCAACTGCCACTAACTGTGGACTTTGCTTTCTAGCAGATAGAAAAAGCTTCTGCACAATCCACAGCACTGGCTATTTGAAAAGCTGGCCACCCACAAAGATGGGGCTGGACGAAGACAACGAGCCGGACAATGAGGGGTGTAATCTCAGCTGCCTTGTCGCAATAGGACGGCTGCATTCTCATGTGGTTCCACAACCGGTGAACGGGGAAATCAGGGTGAAGTCTATGGAATATGTTTCTCGACATGCCATCGACGGGAAGTTTGTTTTTGTAGACCAGAGGTGAGCGCCTGCATGTTACTCTTGAATGATAATGGGGAGTTCAACCCCGAGTAAAGCAGAGACAATGGGGCAACGGCAACGAGCTGGCTTTCCTAAGAATAAAGCGAGAGGAAGTGATGGGGTCGCTGCTAAAATCTGAGATCCATAAGAATATCATCGTAAATGCAGAGATTTCCTCTCATTCTTGGCGTGTGGAGCTAGTTAAGTAGGTGGTTGGATGCCCGTGGCCAGAGAACCCGTAGGCACAGCACCTGTGGGATGTTCCCGGACCCCTCCTGTGATGGGAATTTGGGAACTAGGACTTGGAAAAGAATAGTCCTGAGGCTATTAGTAATCTCATGTGACTACTCAAGTTTTAATTTAATCAATTAAAATGAAACTCCTCAGGCTCACTAGCCACATTTCAAGTACTCAGTAGCCACATGTGGCTCTTGGCTCAGATATGGAACGTTCCCATCATCACAGAAGGTTCTGGTGGACAGCACTGATTGTCCATCTCTTCGTTTATGGAGGAGGACTGAGGCCCAGCCTGGAGCCTGGCTTCCTCCAGGACTTGCACTCGTTGGCAGTAGACCTGGGCTGCAGGCCCAGCGGTCCCAGGTTTCCCACTGCCCTCTGCTGCCTCTTAAGAATATTTGCAGGCTAATCATTTTCAGGCTCCTGCAAAGTCACTCTGTGCGGGGAAAGAAGACATTTTCCAAGGTCCTGATGGCTCCTGCTGCTGGACCTTCTGGTGTTTGGTTTTCCTGATAAAAAGTTGGCAGTAAAATGGATAAGTTTTGCACTGGGGTGTAGATTTCTACCACATTTTTATCTAACTAATATAGTTACCATTTTTAAACCTCCCAAAACCTGATTACTTGTTATAACAACCCCTTGGAAAGGCTTCTTTGCTTTCTTTCCCTCAGTTTTTATAATTTGAGTGTAATTCTGTTGCATGAAATACATATATATATGAGAACAAGGCCAAAGCCGGGTGATTTTCAGAGGGCTGACTCTGTCATATATGCATACATACATGTGTCATGTCTTGAGTGTAATTCAGTTGCATGAAATACATATATATATATATGAGAACAAGGCCAAAGCCGGGTGATTTTCAGAGGGCTGACTCTGTCATATATGCATACATACATGTGTCATGTATACGTACATATATGTACATATAAATAAAATCTCCACAGAGTAATTGCCTGGCTTTTTTTAATTTTAATATTCCCTTCCAGGGCAACAGCTATTTTGGCATATTTACCACAAGAACTTCTAGGCACATCATGTTATGAATATTTTCACCAAGATGACATAGGCCATCTCGCAGAATGTCACAGGCAAGGTAAGCCGGCTGCACAGAGGACGTTAAGTTTACATGCCCCCGCTTCTGCACTGGTCCACACGGTCTTCCGGGAAATCTGCCCCAGGGCTGCAGCATCAGCCAGCTCAGGGGTCTCGAGGCCAAGAATCTGTGAGGAGAGGAGGCTGGTGGCCCGGCCCTGTTCATCCCCTACAGAACCCAGCCCTGCCTGCCCAGCCGTTTCTAGACAGAGGTCCGGCTGATTTCCAGAGGGCATCCCTTATTCACAGGATCCACCTGGACCCCTAAAGATTTGGTGCGGCCCAACAGTTCTAATTCTCTTTTTCATAAAACCCTACACTGCTGCCTGTCTTTTCCTCTTCATTAATGGCACGCCACATATTCAGCCTCCTCCGAGAGAAACCCGTATTGACCCTTCCTTTACGTTGTCGTCCACCAGATCGGTTCATTCACCTCAGACATGAATGCCCACAGAGGACCCTTTTGCCACCTCCAATGTCCTGGTTCGGGCCCTTGTGCCCATCTTTTAATTGCGAGAGCCTGCTGACAGGCCTCCCTTCTGCTCCCAGTCCCTCTTCCGTCCATAGTTAACCCATTTCTGTGGTAGACCAAGCCTGACAATGTCCCATTTCTGCTTAAAACTCGCCTTTACACTCAAGGCCAAATGCCTTTGATAGGCATTCAAGGCCCTCTACCACCTGGCCCCGACCGACCTCCTCAGCTTCACCCCCCATCCTTGCCTGCCCAGGCCTGTGCGCAGCCGCGCCGACCATCTCACTGTCCCCTGCCGCCTCCCTGGCCCTGTCACAACTGGGCACTGCTGCATTCTTCCCTTTGTCAAACTTCTGTTCATCCCTCAAGGCCCCAGTCTCCTCTGCATAGCTGCCTCATTGCTCTCCTGTGGGCAAGTGTCATAGTCTGTCTCCTATCTCCAGGCCTGGCACGTGAAAGGTGCTCGTTTCATGTTTGTTACATAAAAGAATAGGTTCGAATAGGTGAGTGACTTCTCTGGATGAAGATGTCCTAAAAGTGCTGTACTGCCTCGGGCTTTGAGATGAGAAGAACACGGTCCCTTCTCATTAGCTGGTGTCCACGTCAACACTGATTCTGGCCGATGTCTGCAATGCAGCCAGGCATTTCCTGGAGCCATCATCTCATAGACTGGGAAACGGGGACAGACACACAACTGAATCGCAAGGCTCTGAGTCAGCCCCTTAGAAACGACCTTGGCTTACTGGAGAGGTAGCATTGGAGCCCGATGCTTTAGGATTTGGTGCGTTTCATACCCTGACCTGAGGAAACAACAATGTTCATGGTTTCTTTGCATTTGCAGTTTTACAGACGAGAGAAAAGATTACAACTAACTGCTATAAGTTTAAAATCAAAGATGGTTCTTTCATCACACTGCGGAGTCGATGGTTCAGTTTCATGAACCCTTGGACCAAGGAAGTAGAATACATTGTCTCAACCAACACTGTTGTTTTGTAAGTGTTTCTCCTATGTCAGAAGTTTCTTCGCTTCAACATGAAATGCCCTGGGCTCCTTACCAGGGAAAGGGGTGCAGTCACAGCCAGTATCACATCCTTTAGTGCCAACTGCTAATACCCTGTGAAGCCTCAGGATTGCAGAAGCCAAACGGGTTGTTAACAGGGGACAAGCTTAGTGCTCACACTGTGCAGGCCCCAGGCCTATGGTATTGCTCCAGGAACCCATACCACCTCCTTCCAGATAAAGCAGCCAACCTCTGAATTCTGCACGCCCTTCACCCGGGGCTCCGCTGGCATCTCTGAGGGAAGGGATGGCAGTCCATGGAAGGCTCCCATAGGCATCAGCTCAGACTGGCCTTGGCTGAGGGGGTGCCCACCAGGCTGGTGGCTTGAGCATTGCAGCTGGAATGCCACCTGCTAGAGAAGCAGGGAAGGGAAAGACCTTCGCTCTGGCTGGGCCGCTCCCCACATCTCCCTCCCTGTGGTGTCCAAACCCCCACCTGTGGTTCGGGCTGAGCGAGGGGCTAGGGCAGGTGCAGTGCAGGCTGGCAGGGAGCAGGCCTGCAGCTGGGGCAGGGGCTGCTGCAGTCACCACTGATCAGAAGGGCCCCCAGGCAGTGAGGCCAAAGGCCAGGATGCCATCCATCGTGTTATCGCTCAGCGAGGAGACCTTTGGGGGGCCACCTCAGACAGACACTTCATTTTCTGGCCTGTCCAGGTCCAGAGTGGACACTGGACATCTTGGCCAAGGTGAAAGGTGCACGGTCTGAGCAGGCCTGACTCACGTTTCCTTCTTGCTGGGATGTTCACAGAGCCAGCGTCCTGGAAGGCAGGGACCCAGGCTTCCCGCAGCTCACAGTGTCCCCCCACAGCATGGACGGCATGCTGCCCCCTGGAGAAGGTAACTATTGCCCAGAGCATCGGGCTCGCCCCTGAGAAGCTGCTTGTGAACAAAAGGCCTCTCGTATCTGGGGTCCCCAGTCACCCTGTTCTGTGGAACAAGGGAGGCCTCGCGAGGATGAGCACGAAGGACACGGTCTTCTCACCTTCTCTCTGAACCTGGAATACCAGGAACTTGGTTTTGTCTTTCCGGAGGAAAGGACACGGTCTTCTCACCTCTCTGAGCCTGGAATACCAGGAACTTGGTTTTGTCTTTCCGGAGGCTGCTGGGTCCTGGAAGCTCTTGAAATAGCAAAGTCCGACTCCTCTCCTGCTTCTCCCTCGTGCTGCCCGCTGGCTGTGATGCGACTGACGTGCTCTTTCATGACTGTCACAGGCCCCTGTGTGGGAGGGGGGTGCTGTGCCCCCGGGCTCCCTCCCAGGACTCGGCCTTGCCCCCTGCTCTCCACATTTGCCATGTCCTCTGTGGGCACTTGCACGTGCTCTGCAGGACCCCCTCCATGGGTGACCTGCATCCAGGCCCCGCTGAGCTCCAGGTCTGTCTCTCCACTGCCTCCTGGAAAGGACCACCCAGAGTCCAAAGGCACCAGGAAGTCAGCACATCCCAACCAATTCTCCCCAAGCCCCTCTGGTTGCTTCAGCCAGAAACCTTATCTCCTGCTCTCCCTTCTGTCTGAACATGGAACCTGCCTCTTCTGTCTCAAACCTCTCATCACCACTGCCACTCCTTCACCCTCTCCCCTGTGCCTGGTAACTTCCTAACCCGTCTCGCTCTGCCTGCCCCCATCCTCCACTGCAGTTCATCCTCCATGCAGCTGACTGTCTAACAACCAAGTCTAAGTCATTGCCTTTCTGTGTAGGGTCCGTTGGTGCTCCTGATTCCTTTGTGCATCTGTCCAAATCTGTTAGTCTGGCATCCAAGGCCCTTCATGGTCTGACTGGTACCCGCCTCCCCCGTTTCCTCCATCACTGCTTCATCCTCATTCACGATGAATCTCTTGGAGTTGTCTCCCAAGTGTTGTCCTCAGTACCCTTGCATCTACTGGTTGCTGTGCCTGGAATGCTTCCCCCTCCCTGCCTCTCTGCCAAGCTAATGTCTGCTCCCTCTCTCAGGACTCGGCTCAGGGTTGAAATCTTCAGGAAGCTGCCCCTGGCCAAGATGAGTTGGGTGCCTCATGCCTACTTGTCAAACTTGTCCCACTTTGCCACTGTTCATCTTGTCTGCCACCCCAGAGGCTGTGAGCCTCGAGGGCAGGGAGCTGCCTTATCTGTGCAGCACGGTGCATTCAGTGAGGGTATGCTGAGCCGGGAGGGGAATTGGGTTCTTCAGTGCTTTGCCTCTGAACCTGAAAGGAAACCTGAGCCTTTTCCTGCCAAGCGATGGTTCTAACCATAAGCCCTAAGGCCCAGCCCTCAGGTTGAACTTCAAGTGCATCATGGGATGAACTGATTGTAATTTAACGTACAGTAGTGTTTCTTCCTCGGTTTCCCCTTTCTCACTCTCAGATTCCTTTGTTGTAGGTGGCCCGAAGAGGACCCACCCCACTGTCCCAGGGATTCCAGGGGGAACCAGGGCTGGGGCAGGAAAAATAGGTCGAATGATTGCTGAGGAAATCATGGAAATCCACAGGCAAGTAGCATCTTCTAGTTGTTCCCTTAAACTGGTGGTTCTCAACCCAGAGCATTCTCACCCCCCACCACCCCCAGAGGATGTTTTATAATCTCTGGAGACATAGTTGGTTGTCACAAATGGGTGGGAGGTTGCTACTAAACATCCCTGGATTGAGGCCACAGTGCTGCTTCCTGAACATCCTACATCATTGGGTGTATATCGTTATAACCTACAGTACACAGAACTGCCTCTCCCCCACCCCACCCCCAACAAAAAAAATTTCTAGTCCAAACTGTCAATAGTGCTGAGACTGAGAAATCTTGCCTTAAATAAAGAGGCTAAACCCAAACAGCCCAGAGCTAAAGGGAACTCCGTGGGAGGCTCCACTCTCTAGTGACTTGGTGTATGACTCAGGGTGCTTCCCAGTGAGGACGGGGAACACTGGCACCCCAGGACTGTAGGAGAGCCGAGATCTGGTTTTCAAAGCATTAGCTTCTCCGATCACAAAACTGCCTGGGTGTAGTGGAGACCAGGCCCTTCAGCTCCTGATGGAAGCTTCCTCGGGCAGGACTTCTCCTTCATAGGAGCGACGGGGAAGTTTACCCAGGTGTGAATCCTGGACCTCTACTTCAGCAATTTTCCACCTTTTTCTTTTCATGGCACACATAACTAATGACTAAAATTCTGCAGCACACCACAAAAATATATTTTTTGCCAATCTAACAAAAAAATTGGTATAATTTTGATTCATTCACACTGGACAGCTATTGTTGTGTTGACTGTCATTTTTTTATTTGAAAAAGTGCTCTGACTAAATAGGTATCGCATGTCTTAAAATTCTTGGGGCACCCCGGTTGAGAATCACTGCTGTACTGGTACTTGGTGGTGCTCAGGAGATTCACTTAGCTTCTTGGTCTCTGTTGACTTAGGCTGTGGAAGGGAGGCATAGCTATCTCCAGGGATTGCTGTGGGATCCTGAGGGAACTCAGGACAGTTCCTGGCACAGAAACTGAAAGAGAGGGAATTGTTACTTAAGTCTAAGTCTCTAAAAGCAGTCATTGAGAGGGAAGTAGTTATTATGAGTCCATCTGAAGTTGGGGAATGGAGAGTTGGAAACCAGGTCCTGCAAACGTAATGGGACATAATCATAGGAAAAGGAAAAATGACCGCTAATTCTTGCTGCCACTGGATTTGCAGGTGAATGGGGCTGGCCCTGTGTTCCAGTTGGCTCTAGTGGGGCTCTGACCCAGCGGGTAGCTGTTCTGTTCCAACCCAACAGGAATGAAGGATGACACTTCAGGAGGGAGATGTGGGGTCAGCGATGACCAGGTTACCATCAGCCACTGCATACCCTGTGCTTGGCTGAGACCATCCAACAACAGGGTAAACCAGCCCCCGACCTTGATGATCTTACAGTCTTTGAGAAGCCTGTTTTCTTTATAATAGAGAAAAGGGAAAGCGCATGGCTGAAGCAGGCAAGGAAGATTTTGAACTTGGTTGAAGCTTGGGTTTGTGATGAAGGTAGGCATTGCTTCTAGAAAAGACAGGCACATGCTGGGTGGGCACATGAGTGGCATATTCAGGGTCAGGAATCTGGCCACCTAACTGGGCAGTCTCTTTGTAAAAAGGAGCCACAGAGCTCTGATGGGAAATTTCTAATATCACTAAGAAGTGGTGCTGAGTAGTTTACACTGGAAAATGATAACACCCCATTCATTGTGGGATGCTGAACAGGTGTTGGTAAGCACTGTGGAAGTCAGTTGAAATGGGAGGAGAGGAAGGTGAGCATGCTTGATAACCCAGGAACGAGGCCCATCCTACAGTGGTGATGCTCTCCGAAAAAGAAATGAATAATATAAGGACTAGATACTGAAGATGAAACAAGAAACAATGAAAAGGCGATTCCAAGATGGGGAACCTGGGAAAAAGTGGTTTCACAGGGAGAGGTAAGAAAAGGTGGAGACAGCACTCTGCAGTAAGCAATTCGTAGGCCTCTGTGTGTCGTAAAGGTGCATATAGATTTATCCTTTGAGAAGCTTATGATCCAGGAGAGAGAAAACTTGTTCACTCACAGATCTACAGAACTAGGCAGTGCAGGCCAAGTGCCAAAAGGCTGCTGGGCAGTGGAGAGTGGTCCCTGGGGGCCCAAAAGCCGCATTCATCTATGAGGAGCTAGGAGCCTGGTGGCCACGCAGCTGCCACCATACTCTGCCTCAACTCCAGCTTCAGCACCAGGCCATGGCCACTTTCCTGAGGTCCTGCAGCTGCCAAGTGTATGTGGATTTATGGTTCTAAGTCTTCCCTCTGTAAACTTATGCTGAGAAATACACTCGCTGAGAAGGGCCTGGAAGGGCCATTATTTCTCTACTGCCTTAGAACAGCGGTTCTCAACCTGTGGGTCGCCTAAGACCATCGGAAAACACATATATAATTACATATTGTTTTTGTGATTAATCACTATGCTTTAATTATGTTCAATTTGTAACAATGAAATTGGGGGTCACCACAACATGTATTAAAGGGTTGCGGCATTAGGAAGGTTGAGAACCACTGCCTCAGAAGATGACCACTACTGCAGAGCTACTTTCTAGGTGTGGCTGAGCACCCTGGCACCCTCCGTGTCCCAAGAGTATTAATTGGCTGAACAGTGTTTGCAGGGAAGAAGATAAATCATTGCTATGGGTTTAGTTCATGGTATCAAAGATAGAGACTGAACTTCTAAAGTTCCCTCCTACTCTTGATCTTGGTTTTGTAAGGAAACAAAACTGGCCACTTACTTGAAATTCCACCCTGAATTCCAAACCATAATCCAAGGGCTTTGTCAGTGAGATGCTTGACTCCAGGGTCTGCATCCTAGATTAGGTGTCTATGGGATAAATCCAGCTTATCACCTGCTTTTTTTAATTTAATTTTTTAAAATATATTTTTATTGATTTCAGAGAGGAAGGGGGAGAGAGAAACATCAATGATGAGAGAGAATCATTGATCAGCTGCCTCCTGCACACCACCTACTGGGGATCAAGCCCACAACCCAGGCACGTGCCCTGACCGGGAATCGAACCATGACCTCCTGGTTCATAGGTCGATGCTCAACCACTGAGCCATACTGGCCAAGCTTGCCTGTTTTTTTATGTAAAGTTTTTTTGGAATACAGCTACACCCATTCATTTACAAATGATCTATGGCTGTTTCAAGCTACAATGGCAGAATTGAGTAACTGTGACTTAGAGAGCCTAAAGTAGTTACTCTCTGGCCCTTTACAGAAAAAGTTTGCCAATTCATCCTTCATCTTACACACACACACACACACACACACACACACCCTCTCTAAAAAAGGGAAAGGCAATGTAATTAACTCCTCTTTTCTGACAGGATAAGAGGGTCCTCTCCTTCCAGCTGTGGCTCCAGCCCACTGAACATCACAAGTACACCTCCCCCTGATGCCTCTTCCCCAGGAGGCAAGAAGGTAAGGCCCTTCTTAATCTAGAGAGGCTCTTGCCCAGGGGCTGAAATGTTGGGGTGAGAGTATACAATTACAATTGTGGTTGCTGAAACATCTTTCCTCCTTGAGTAAATGCACGATTGTGAGGCTAGGTACAAAACATACTGGTGGAGCTAGGGTGGCTTGCTGGCATCCTTAAAGGATTAATTGCCTGTGAGTGGGGAAAGTAGAGAGCTTATTCTAAGGAGTGCGGAGTTATCAGTCCATTGCATTGAGGGAGCAATTCAAGAGCTCCCATGAGGGAAGGATTAGTGAGTACCACACACAGAACTATCCAATTACCTGCCAGGAGTTTTCAAGGGCGAAAACACCATTAGTGTCTAGTGCAGGGATTGGAAACAGTGATGCTACCAGCAGGGCTTCAGAAGGCAAGCCATGCCTTTGCAGTTGCAGGGCTTGGGGATCCGCCGCCTGGGTTTCCTGTGGCGTGGCAGCACGGGTGCACGCATTTCATCAGCCGCCCCCCTCACAAAGCTAGCTAGAGGGCTACACTGTAAATAGGCTTAGAAACCACTCATCTGTTTCATCTTTGTCAGCGAATTTCCAAGTCTAGGTCCATGTTCATTGTAAATCATAAATCCGTTTATGGTGTCTGATGTTAATAATGTTAGGCTGACTCAAGGGCCAGCCAGCATCTTTAGACAGTCTTCCCCTATCTTCCAGAACACATACAGAAAGAAAGAGTATTAGTAATTTACATAGATGGGACTAATAAAGCACAAACTGTAGCAGAAGCAGGACGTGGGATTTTAAAACTGGGCTCCTCCAAGGCTCAGGTAGCAGGAGCTGTGGTGCCGCCAGTGGGATGGGGCAGGGCCACTGGTGAGAAGAGGGAAGGTCAGGACTCCTGTGTCTTCTACCAGGGCAGCTTCACTTCTATGAATCTTCTGGACCTTGCAGAGCCCTGAAAGGATCTTACCCCCCCTCCCCAAAGGCCACCGATGACATGTATCTTCTACCAGGGCAACTGCTACAGTTACTTCTATTATATATAAAATAGAGGGCCGAGGGCCGATGCACGATGCACGAAATTCGTGCAAGAGTAGGCCTTCCTTCCCCCGGCTGCTGGCACCGGCTTTCCTCCAGCCCCGGCTTCATCCGGAAGGACTTCTGGTCTAATTAGCATATTACACTTTTATTATTATAGATATGTGATTGTGCCTAGCCTTTGCTAACAACATAGAAATAGCGTTGATGAGATGAAGTCTGGGCTGCAGCTGTGCTCCTGGCTGTTCTGTTGCACTCCTGGGTCCTTCCTCAATATGGGATCCCCTCTTTTTAGGCCGGTTCCCCTCCTCTACTTCTCAGTTGAACTTTTAGGCACTTGACTTCCTGGTACTACCAGGAATCCCACTGTATCAATCCAGTATAATGCTTAAGTACATTCTTTTATCGTATCCTCACAACTTTATAGGTAACAAAATCTAGGCTCCCCAGTGTGAAAGATACAGCCCAGCATTTTTTAATAAGTCTGGTTCCAAACTATCTTGGGGTCTCTTGATTTCAAGTAGTTACTCTCTGGCCCTTTACAGAAAAAGTTTGCCAATTCATCCTTCATCTTACACACACACACCCTCTCTAAAAAAGGGAAAGGCAGTGTAATTAACTCCTCTTTTCTCTGACAGGATAAGAGGGTCCTCTCCTTCCAGCTGTGGCTCCAGCCCACTGAACATCACAAGTACACCTCCCCCTGATGCCTCTTCCCCAGGAGGCAAGAAGGTAAGGCCCTTCTTAATCTAGAGAGGCTCTTGCCCAGGTTCTGAAATGTTGGGGTGAGAGTATACAATTACAATTGTGGTTGCTGAAACATCTTTCCTCCTTGAGTAAATGCACGATTGTGAGGCTAGGTACAAAACATACTGGTGGAGCTAGGGTGGCTTGCTGGCATCCTTAAAGGATTAATTGCCTGTGAGTGGGGAAAGTAGAGAGCTTATTCTAAGGAGTGCGGAGTTATCAGTCCATTGCATTGAGGGAGCAATTCAAGAGCTCCCATGAGGGAAGGATTAGTGAGTACCACACACAGAACTATCCAATTACCTGCCAGGAGTTTTCAAGGGCAAAAACACCATTAGTGTCTAGTGCAGGGATTGGAAACAGTGATGCTACCAGCGGGGCTTCAGAAGGCAAGCCATGCCTTTGCAGTTGCAGGGCTTGGGGATCCGCCGCCTGGGTTTCCTGTGGCGTGGCAGCACGGGTGCACGCATTTCATCAGCCGCCCCCCTCACAAAGCTAGCTAGAGGGCTACACTGTAAATAGGCTTAGAAACCACTCATCTGTTTCATCTTTGTCAGCGAATTTCCAAGTCTAGGTCCATGTTCATTGTAAATCATAAATCCGTTTATGGTGTCTGATGTTAATAATGTTAGGCTGACTCAAGGGCCAGCCAGCATCTTTAGACAGTCTTCCCCTATCTTCCAGAACACATACAGAAAGAAAGAGTATTAGTAATTTACATAGATGGGACTAATAAAGCACAAACTGTAGCAGAAGCAGGACGTGGGATTTTAAAACTGGGCTCCTCCAAGGCTCAGGTAGCAGGAGCTGTGGTGCCGCCAGTGGGATGGGGCAGGGCCACTGGTGAGAAGAGGGAAGGTCAGGACTCCTGTGTCTTCTACCAGGGCAGCTTCACTTCTATGAATCTTCTGGACCTTGCAGAGCCCTGAAAGGATCTTACCCCCCCTCCCCAAAGGCCACCGATGACATGTATCTTCTACCAGGGCAACTGCTACAGTTACTTCTATTATATATAAAATAGAGGGCCGAGGGCCGATGCACGATGCACGAAATTCGTGCAAGAGTAGGCCTTCCTTCCCCCGGCTGCTGGCACCGGCTTTCCTCCAGCCCCGGCTTCATCCGGAAGGACTTCTGGTCTAATTAGCATATTACACTTTTATTATTATAGATATGTGATTGTGCCTAGCCTTTGCTAACAACATAGAAATAGCGTTGATGAGATGAAGTCTGGGCTGCAGCTGTGCTCCTGGCTGTTCTGTTGCACTCCTGGGTCCTTCCTCAATATGGGATCCCCTCTTTTTAGGCCGGTTCCCCTCCTCTACTTCTCAGTTGAACTTTTAGGCACTTGACTTCCTGGTACTACCAGGAATCCCACTGTATCAATCCAGTATAATGCTTAAGTACATTCTTTTATCGTATCCTCACAACTTTATAGGTAACAAAATCTAGGCTCCCCAGTGTGAAAGATATAGCCCAGCATTTTTTAATAAGTCTGGTTCCAAACTATCTTGGGGTCTCTTGATTTCTGATTCCTTTTTACACCAGTAACTGCCAGAGATGAAAAAGCATGTTCAGCATCACAAAGCCCCAAGTATTTTTAAAGCATTTCTGAAAAAAAAAAAAAGTCCCTTTTCTTTGAGCTTATACAAGTGGGTATGAGAAGAAATTCTGAATGTATTCTGAGTCCTCAACAGAACTCATACGAGCACCTAAACAAGATAGAGTTAACAATGACAGCAGCAGTAACCAGTACACTAGAGCCACAATGCTTCCAGCCCTTCCCAGTCACTTTCAAATTTGGCAGGTCTGAAAATGAGCCGTTTAGCTTGCCAGTTGTTTTAGTCGGGTTCAGCTGAAGGGGAGGCTAAGTGAGCCTGTTTCCAGGCGAGTCTGGGCTCCAGAGGCAATAGGTCCACACAAAGCAGCCAGTCCTTATGTGTCATCTGTGATGTGAAAACTTCACGTTTTTTGTAGATCTTTTCAGGGCTCTGCAAGGTCTGAACTCTTTTCATAATAAGGCTAAAAGATTATTTTTTCTCACTGTGTTGATATGTGAACAAATAGTACAAAAGCAATGTTGGGTAAAACTGCTGGTGCCTTTGCAGAAATGAGGGCAGGGACACCAAACTGCACTAGCAGTAGTCGTATTTTCTCACTGCCATATACTCGAAATGAAAAAAGCAATAAAAATTTTAAAGACAGTTTCATTTAAGAATGCCCCAATGAAGCAGTAAAAATAACTGCTTTTATAAAACCCTGGAGTAATTCTTTTTGGCACTGGGACACAGTAGGAAGTACGCATGCAGCACCTGTGCTGCTCACAGCCGTCTCAGGAAAAGCCCCTTTGACCGTGTGAGTTCTGAGCTGCACGAACAGCTTTCTTCACAGAACACTTATGTTTCCTATTGTAAACTATGGCTGTTCAGACCTAGGTATATGCATACATTTCCTTGAAAATGATGAAGTGAACCTGTGACTTCAAGAAAAACAACTGACAGTATTTGTTGCCAACGATAAAATTACAGCTTTCAAGCAAAAATTAGAATTTTCAGAAAACGTACCTGCTACTTTGAGCTCGATAGCTTTCTAAAACTTAAAAAATATTTCTGCCCAGCCGGTGTGGCTCAGTGGTTGAGCGTCGACCTATGAACCAGGAGATCGCAGTTCCATTCCCAGTCAGGGCACATGCAGAGTCGCAGGTTTGATCCCCAGTAGGAGCCTGCAGGAAGCAGCTGATCAATGATTCTCTCTCATTATTGATGTTTCTCTCTCCCTCTCTCTCTAAAAATCAATAAGAACCTATTTAAAAGATATTTCTGATTTCGGCATTTATTTATTTTTGTTAATCCCTCTTCCCCCACCCCTCCCTGGAACATTTTTCCATTGATTTTTACACAGAGTGGAGGGGAGGGGAAGAGACACACAGAGAGAGAAACATCGATTCGAGACACATTGATTGATTGCCTCCACACGTGCCCCGGAGTTGAGCTTGCAACCCAGGTGTGTGCAGCCCTTCACTGGAATCGAACCAGAGACCCTTCAATCTGAGGGCCAATGCTCTATCCACTAAGCCAAATCGGCTAGGGTGGATTTAGGTATTAACAATTAGGATGTTTTGATGTTGTACAATGAAATGTGTCAATGTGTCAACATTTGAAAGATTTGCATAACAGTGAAACGGTATTTTCCAAATGACCAATAACTCAAGGTTATTTTATTTTTTATTTTGAGAGTACATTTATTAACGCTGGGGGCAGTGAAACAAGGAGAGGCTTAGGACAGAAGCAACAGGAGGGACTGCTGTCAGCTCACTGGAAAGTCAGAGAAAGGAGAACATTGGAGACAGGTTCAGGGCTTAAGCCTGGGAAGATGCCAATGTCCATCACTCCCCTGGTTGCAGTCTCATGGGGTCCCTTAGAATTTAGGAGATGCCCACCAGTGGGGGAATGGGAAGGGGGTGGAAAAGGTGCAGGCATGCTCGCGGGACAGAGTGCGCCCAGTGCAAGGTGTTTTACATTCATGCAGAGTTAAAAGATCCATCCTAAGATGGATATACCAATGGATTTTAACCAGAGTACAAAAACTTCATTGATGTGGTTTCAGATTCCACATTGCAGCTAATCTTTTGAGAAACTTCCACTTATTGAGTTTTGATGTAATATCAAAGATTAATTCCACAATTATTTGAAAAAAAAAACACCTTAAAATACACCTTCCTTTTCCACCTATATAACTAGGAGACCAGATTTCCTTCATATACTATATTCAAACAGACTAAATGAAGCATATGAGAATCCTGTCAAATTCTACTAAGGCAGACACTGGATTTTTTAAAAATGTAAATCAATGACACCACTTATTTTTTGTTATTTTGGAAAAGTTATTTTTCATTAAGATGGTATTCATGTTAACATGTAATAGGTTTATTATTTTAAGAATTTATCATTTTTAACTTTAAATATACTAAACATTGATAAATATAACCCACATAAACAAAAGTTCTTTGAAGTCCTCATTTTTTAAATTGTATAAAGGGGTCACTAGACCAAATATTTGAACTGCAGAGATAAGGAAGTTGTAATGCCACCTACTGGCAAGGCCTGAAATCACCGACTCTCCTGAAATTCAAGGAGCTACCAGTTTCCCTCACCTGCATCCAAATAGTTCTCCCAGGTGCTTTTCTCCCAGGAGACTCAGTGGGGAAGGAAGCAGTGGATGGTGGGGGAGGGAGGAAGCAGACAGAATGAGAATTCTGCTACTGAGGAGTAATAATGCTTTTCAGGGCCTTAAGAACTTAAACCACTGGTTACTGGAAGCGGGACCTGTAGTTAACTGGTGAGGAGAGATTTACTTCTAGTACTTCGTTTTCATTTGTGATTCCTCAGAGCTGTGCCTCTTCCCAGTTTCTTAACAAGCTCTTATTTCTTCTTCAGCAACATCTGTTGCTGTAAGGTTTACTCCCTTACAGGGGAACTGCCCAGCTGGGCTCACTGAGGTTTAGTCCTTGGCCCTAAAGAAACATGTGAGCAGCATGACCCAAGGTAACTGAATGCTCTAGGGATTTTATTCCGCCTTTAAATCGCCTGTGTGGGCGGAATCTAATGAAGAGAAAAGAAGTTTTGGGGAGAGGTTTTTTTTTCTTACTGTGACCATTTTTAACAATTTGTCTGCAATCATCCAATAGGAAACTGAAGCCATTTGAAGCTTTTTTTCAGCATGGTCCTTGGTAAGCATATACTGACTGAAACTGTTGGTGATGTGAAAACTTCACTTTTGTTTGTAGATTTTAAATGGAGGGACTCCAGACATTCCTTCCAGTGGCCTACTACCAGGGCAGGCTCAGGAGCACCCAGGTTATCCATATTCTGATAGTTCTTCTATTCTTGGTAAGTGGCATTTTATTCATTTCCATGACAAGAAGTTTTCAACACATCTGACATGTCAATTTTAATAATAGAAATGTACCAAACAAGCTTGTTCTAGATAAATTTGGTAACAAAGTTTAAAATTTCTTTAAAACTTTACTTCCAAGTTGAGTTCTGATTGGAGTATCCAAGTTTGTCCCTGAACTCAGAAGATTACAGCAGCTTAGACACACACAGGCTTTCTCCACCATGTTAGGGCATAACCTCTTCAGAGGTTTAGAGATAAAGCCCAGAAGGGTGATAGCAATGGTTTCAGAGGGTATTAAAGGTCATTTTGCAATGAAGGATCCACTTCTCCCATCCCATCTGTCTTTTTCTATAATTATCTTTCTAGATCTCCTTTTCCTAATCTCTTCCTTCCTTCCTATTTCTTTCCCTATGTAACTCCATCCTTATAATTGGTTATATCAGAAAATTAAATTGAGGTCAACTCAGATGCTTTTAATCTTTATTATTGAAGTACTGTTTCTAAAAAGTTGGTTCTTCCTTCTAAAAACCCAGAGTTTAAAAAGTATATATATACTAGAGGCCCGGTGCACAAAAATTTGTGCACTGGGGGGGAGGGGGTGTCCCTCAGCCCAGCCTGTGCCCTCTGGCGGTCTGGGACCCCTTGGGGGATGTCCACCTGCTGGCTTAGGCCCGCTCCCCGGGGGATCAAGCCTAAGCTGGCAGTCAGACATCCCTCTGGCAGCCCAGCAGCCCTTGGGGGATGTCCACTTGCCAGCGGGAGCAGGCCTTAAGCTGCAGTTGGACATCCTTAGTGCTGCTGAGGAGGCGGGAGAGGCTCCCGCCACCACCACTGTGCTGGCAGCCGTCAGCCTGGCTTGTGGCTGAGCAGAGCTCCCCCTGTGAGAGCGCACTGACCACCAGGGGCATCTCCTGCATTGAGCGTCTGCCCCCTGGTGGTCAGTGTGTGTCATAGTGACCAGTCATTCCTAGTGGTTCTGCTGTTAGGTCAATTTGCATATTACCCTTTTATTATATAGGAGATAAGTATATATATATATAAAAGGCAATGTAGCACCAAAAGGAGCTGCTCTCATCCTACTGTTAAGATAAACGTGTGCTTAGGAATTGCTTACTAAGGTAAACACACTTTGGTATCACCACTAACCACTCTTTATCTCTTCCCACAGGGGAGAACCCTCATATAGGCATAGACATGATAGACAACGATCAAGGCTCAAGTAGTCCCAGTAACGATGAAGCAGCAATGGCTGTCATAATGAGCCTCTTGGAAGCAGATGCTGGGCTGGGTGGCCCTGTTGACTTTAGCGACTTGCCATGGCCGCTGTAAACACTACATGTTGCTTTAGCAACAGCTACAGTATCAAAGTGCATTACTGATCGTGCTTTACAGTCTGCAAAGCTTACTGGGTAAGGAGAGAACAGCTTTTATGTACTGTCTTCATAAAAGCCATCTCAGAGCCATTGATACAAGTCAATCTTACTATGTGTAACTTCAGACACAATGGAACTAAGCCTGCTCCAGTATTTCCTCATCATTGATTGGGCTAGCTGTGGATAGCTTGCATTAATTGTATATTTTGGATTCTGTTTGTGTTGAATTTTTTAATCATTGTGCACAGAAGCATCATTGGTAGCTTTTATATGCAAATGGTCATTTCAGATGTATGGTGTTTTTACACTACAAAGAAGTCCCCTATGTGGATATTTCTTATACTGATTGTATCATAAAGCTGTTTATTCTTGCTTGTAAGAATCCTTTACTATAAATATGGGTTAAAGTATAATGTATTAGACAGTTAAATATTTTTAATAAATGTTTCCCTTGTTCTATAAATACTGTTCACATTTCAAATAATTATAAAAACATGCTACAGGGCTGGTTCATCAATTTTCTCCCATGGGTTTTAAGGATGATCCATGCCAATTCTGGAACTGGCATCATTCCTATGTTAAAAGATTAGCTATTTTGTTAAAGTAGTTAAATCTCCAAATTGCTGCAATTTAGATGTTACACAAAATTCAACCCTAGACATAACAAACACCCCCCCCCACCCCCCTTGCTCACGGCTGGATGACTCCCAACATTGTGACCCCAGACCCAAAGCACCTGACTACTACATCTGGTTTCTTCTTCAGTTGGGTCACAGAATATTTTTTAAAAATAGCATTTGTACGAGTAATAATACAAAGCAGAGTAAAAATGGAAAAAGCACCGAACTAGTGTCAGAAACTGGCTCTGAAACTTACTGTATGATCTAGTCAAGGTATTTCAGGCTGAACTAGAAAATGTCATCTTTTCAGATCTATTTTATGATTAGTAGGGAATCTAAGTGCCTCATCACATACATACCAAATCTGAGTCCATGCGCTGCTTTGTTTTCCAAGTATACTGACACCATGAAGACACGAAGTCTGCTAATTATGAGACTAAAAATGGTCAAGGTTATAAAGTTGATCAGAAACATTAAACAATGGAATTTTATTTTGATGAAAAACTCGAGTTTACAATCATTTAGTAAATGAAGAGCAAACACTTCATTTTCCTAACCCATAACTCTTATGAAAAAAATTAGTAAATAAATATCTGTGAACAGATTAAGGGTAAGGCAGACTGGATAATAAACCACCCCTGATGTTCACACTCCCTGCGTGTGACTCACTCTAAAAGGGTGAAGCCGGCACTGGAGATAACTGAACTCTTAAGATATGGGCACTGAATCTCATTCTAATCATTCAGATAAGCCCAATGATAAATATTTATTTTTTTGCTCATCATGGGCAGTAAACTACACACATTTTACTGAAGGAATACTTTGATAGAAGCACTTAAAGTTACATTGTGCATCACAACTATAAAAATGGCTTCAACAGTTCCATTTAACCACCATTTATAAAGTGCAACTATGTAATATTCTGCATTTTATCTGGGGTGTGACAGAGCAATCTAGACCAAAAGTACCCCAGCTGCCAATTTCCACCACCACGTCTGACGTCTGAAAAGATCTAATTGTGTGAAAAAGGACTGTCCCCCATACAAAGAACCAATTTCACAAACCTACTGGTAAACAAATACATTTATATAACTGGAACCTCAGGATGCTAGAGTTGTATGCATTTTAAAAACCATTCAGCTACCTTTGGTCTTTAAAAAAGCCTACACTGCAATATCCTAAACATGATGTGCATCTCATGATGAAGAGAGTGGCCTTGCAGTGCAGAATGAGGAGAGTGCAACGTCACCATGAACAGTAGCATGCTATGGTTTCAAGGAACATCGGCATCACGGCATTGGATTCTGTGCATCAGGATCGAGGTCATTGTTGCCGGAAGGGGGATGGATGGGGAGAATATCCAGCTCATCCACTTGCGGAGTTGGGTGCATGACTACCAGCTGGTCCTGGGGAATGTCTGCGGCAGCTGCTGCAAGGTTGGTGATAGATTTACTCTTTACACACTGAAAGTCTACATGCCGACTCTTTCCTTCTTCCTTCTCCCAGGACATTCGAATAAAGGGTCTTTGGACATAGTTGTAAATCACTTCTGGGCGGCCCCCAGGCCTTTTCTTTATTTTTTCTTTATAGGTAGGATAACCTGGAGGAGAGAGGGGCTTTAGAAGCTGAAGATACATACTCCCACATACATGGCCCCCCACACCTCTCATCCAATTTAGTCTAGAGGGCTTTTCTGCCATAGCTCCTGAACAAGCAGATATTAACACATTGCGTACCGCATAGAAATCTCTAAGACATACGCCAGGGACCGCACGTTTTTGGGCAAACTGCACGTTATTTAAATCATCATAATGCACTTTAAGTGTTGTTTTTCAATAATTATAACATTTTTATTTACAAAAACAATTAAACAATTAAAGTTCCTAGTACTTTTTTAACGTATGGTACTGCGTAAAACATTTTCCTCTATGAAGAGGGACCAAACAAAATTTACATAAGTATCTAGATTCGCTCCTTTTTCCATGGGCGTGAAAAACGAGAACACTCGTGAGCGTCGCAAAACACGAGAAAACTCCTGAGCGGTATGAAATGTGTTAAAACAAAGGAAGGCCAATATTCCATTTCCTTAGTTTGAATTATTTCAGAATTTTAGTTTCTGGCTGTTGAACTGATGACTGTCTGCCATCCTCTCTCAGCTACTCACTACACTAACCACCAGTAAAACGTTCTTCAAGAGCATGGAAAGGATGGGTCCCCAGTAAGATGGTATGTCATCTAGTGCATCTTGGGCTCTAGCTGTGTATTCTTATCACTCTTGTACCCTTCCTTCCCTTCACAGGACTATCTGGCCTCATGACCTGATGAAGTTTACTGCCACATTTGCCTTCTACTTTCCTTAAACCTAAATCACATTTTCATCTTGCTCTGGTTTTTTTCTTTCCTTTTCTGGTTAAATGACAAAGAGCTGTAGAGCTCTCCAGCTTCACTGGTCCTAGATACTTCTGCACGTAGGTAAGCAAAGCCAGTATTTTAACCCCATATATTTTAATGCTACTATTTCCAACAACCAAGCAGTTCATCTAGATTGGCAATTCCAAAGTAGCTTTTCCTAACTAATTATATATTCCTTCTCTTGGATCATAATCACTGAAAACAACTAACTAGTAAGATTTGGAAAACTTTGGGTCATTTACCAGGTAATGCAATTCTCCAAAGACATAATATCCTTAGAAATTATTACGAGTCCCTTTCCTCCTTCCTATTAGCAAGAATTGCTAGTTTAGACCAGGGACTGGCAAACATTTTCTGTAAAAGGCCAGAAAATAAATATATATTTGAGGCTTGTGGGCCATTTGGTTGCTATCTCAACTATGTTATACTGTAAAGTGAAATCAGCTACAGACAATACATAAATGAATGAACTATGTTTCAATAAACTATTTATAAAAAGCAGGCAATGGACTGGATTTGGCCCATGGGCCATAGTTAGAATCAGAAAAAAAATAGGCCTCATATAATGGAGACTCAATTAATGCTTACTGCATAAGGGGATCTATATGGGCAGCAGTGGTAGGTAATGTATATATTTAGCCACGTGTGGAGTGGGTGTGTGTGTGTGTTGAGGTGAGGAGGGCACAGGGCAAGCAGGACTAAAGACCTTCTGCAGAATGTCCTCTGCATTTCACACTTCAGCCAACTACCACCTGAAGGACGGCACGAGAGATCAGAAAGGTCTCCATCTGTATTCCCTCATCCTGGATTCCTCTGGGGCTATTAGTAAGTCTTTAAAATTCCCATCTCATCTAATTCTCTACACAGAATCACAACTCTAACACAAGTGTAATCATATTATATCCTGCTAAAAAAAAAATACCAATAGTTTTCTCAACCCTAAAGGGGAAGGTCCGTACTCTGTAGCATAGTATATAAAGCTTTTTATAACCTGGTTCCAACCTACTTGTCATTGGGCTTCAACTAAAATGCCACCTCGTTACAGAAGCCATCCTTGTCTTCCCAATCTAAAGTAGCTCCCAGTTGCTTTTTCTCTTGCTCTGAGATCAAGCAGTTAAATCTCAATGTTTGCAAATGACAGAAGACACAAACTGGTAAAACTGTCAGCAATTTCACTACTTTTTTTTAAGCCCAAAGTTTCTTCTTCCCGCAAAGACCCTGTTTCTGCCATCTTCCCCATGTCTCAGCAGCCCATTAGAGTAAGCCTTCACTTATGTTGTCAATAGGTTTTGTGACTTTAAGCAAATGATAAAATGAAACCAATTTTACCCAAGGCTAATAGATATAAACAAGAGTCAAGTTCCTACAGTATCTCACCAATGTTGTGACAAAATGACAAAACAAAATTGTTCGAGGATCTGCTGTATTGTGATCTCCAACAGCTTGACTTGGTCAGTGATCAACACCATTATTGTCACTATCACCACCACAAACATAAACTGAGAAATTACTACTGCTTTAAGTGTTTTTCATGTATCAACTCATTCTATCGTCACAATAACCCTATAAAGTATTTAGATGAGGAAACGGGCATAGAGAAGTGCGTTGGCCAACATCAAACAATTAAGTCATAGGATTTGAACACAACCAATCTGGCTCCAGAAGCTTTATTCTTTACACTATGCCATGTTATGCCAAGAAAGATGTTTTATTTTTACAAGGGGACTTTAAATAAAAGAAGCATCTGACACAGCATCTGGAAAAATTCATTTAAGTCAATGTAAAAAGCAATCTAAAAACATATGGGCTCAGCCAAAAAATCATTAGGGCAAGCTATAACGGAAAAGGTAATTCATATTTCTCATTGCTAGGGAATCCTGTGGAATAAAAATTTCTAATGGCCTATTTTCTCAGAAAGGAAGCTTATTATAAACATAAATAGATCTACATGATCATTTGATATAATCATTTATCTGAGTTTTCCTCTCAAACTATATTCTAAATGAAATCCAATTTTTAACTTTTTTTTTTCAAAACAAATTAACAAAATATAATGAAAATGTCTTACCTTCTATTCCCAATCGAATCTTCTTAAGACCCCTCTCCTTCAAAACTGATTTGGCCACATCTCTGTTTTCAATGTACTTGAAAAATCTGTATAATTTCGTGCTATAAATAACTGAAAACAAAAAGAAAAAATATTTTCTTGTTAAAAATCAAAGTACTTGAATATAAGAAACTTATTCTGATTATCAAATGGGGCTCACAACCCTGAAAGCCCACATAGTGGATGCAGTGATGCCAAAGGACGGCTGGCCAACATGACAGGACAATTCAGTACAGTTAATGGAAAAGCAACACTGAAGTTGAAACAAGAAAAGCTTTAAAACCAATCAGGTGACCCAATCCATAGGAAGAAGCTCCTTCTGAA